ACGTACGGAAGCCTGAAATCAGCCGGGCGGTGAATACTTAGAAACACCCCCCCCGCCCGGATTCAACCACTTGGGCTTGTACGTGTGTATATATTACATGACCAATACTCCATGTAGGTCAGCACCTATGTGAGCAAGGCATGATCTACTTACATACACATATGGATATAATTATATATATCTTCGTCCTCGGGGCATCGGTGTTTTCTTTAGGGTTGCCGGAAGCTTGGAAGATTGAAATTAGTTGGGCGGTGAACACTTAGAAACGCCTCCCCCAACAGAGTCTACCAATTGGACTTGTTTGTGTGTATACATGACACTACTCCATTCATGTCAGCACTGTGTCAGCAAGGCATGATCTACTTACACACACACACACATATATATATATGTATACAAAATACACATCCTGGAGGCATCGGTGCTTTCTTGGGGTTGCCGGCAGCTTGAAATCAGCTGGGGGTGAACACTTAGAAACGCCTCCCCCAACACCCCCACCCCAGAGTCTACCAATATACATGATCAATCCTCCCCACATGTCAGCACTTCCTTGGGGTTGCCGGACGCTTGACATCAGCTGGGCTTAGAAACGCCTCCCCCAACCCCCCCCCCAGAGTATAGCATTTGGACTTGTTTGTGTATACATGACCAATACTCCACACATGTCAGCACGTGTGTGAGCAAGGCATGATCTACTTACACAAACACACACACACACATTTATACATATATATATATATATAGACCTTCATCCTGGGGCCCTCGGTTCTTGCTTGGGGTTGCCGGAAGCTTGAAATCAGCTGGGGGTGAACACTTAGAAACGCCTCCCCCAACCCCCCCCCCCTTTTCAGAGTCTACCAACTGGACTTGTTTGTGTGTTTTCATGACCAATACTCCACACATGTCAGCAGGTGTGTGAGCAAGGCATGATCTACTTACACAAACGCACACACGCACACGTTTATACATATGTGTATATATGGGCCTTCATCCTGGGAGCATCGGTGCTTTCTTGAGGTTGCCGGAAGCTTGAAATCAGCTGGGGGTGAACACTTAGAAACGCCTCCCCCAACCCCCCGCCCCCCCCCCCCAAGAGTCTACCAATTGGACTTGTTTGTGTGTATACATGACCAATACTTCATACATGTCAGCACGTGTGTGAGCAAGGCATGATCTACTTACAAAAACACACGCACACATATTTATATATATATATATATATTTACAGACCTTCGTCATGGGGGCATCGCTGCTTTCTTGGGGTTGCCGGAAGCTTGAAATCAGCTGAGGGTGAACACTTAGAAACGCCTCCCCCAACCCTTCCCCCCCCCCCCCAGAGTCTACCAATTGGACTTGTTTGTGTGTACACATGACCAATGCTAGCACTGTGTGAGCAAGGCATGATCTACTTACAAAAACACACACACATATATTTATATATATATACTTTCGTCATGGGGGCATCGGTGCTTTCTTGGGGTTACCAAGCTTGAAATCAGCTGGGGGTGAACACTTAAGAACGCCTCCCCCAACCCCCCCCCTTTTCAGAGTCTACCAACTGGACTTGTTTGTGTGTTTTCATGACCAATCCTCCATACATGTCAGCACGTGTGTGAGCAAGGCATGATCTACTTACACAAACACACACATATCTATATATAAATAAATATATATATAGACCTTCGTCATGGGGGGATCGCTGTTTTCTTGGGGTTGCCGGAAGCTTGAAATCAGCTGGGGGTGACCACTTAGAAACGCCCCCCACCCTTCCCCCCCGCCCCAGATTCTACCAATGGGGCTTGTCTGTGTATGTGCATGACCAAAAATTCCTATATGTCAGTGCGTTTGCGAGCAAGGCATGATTTACTTACATACAACACATACTTACATATATATATATATATATATGTATATATATATATGTATATAGATAGACCTTCCTCCTCGGGGCATCGGTGCTTTCTTGGGGTTGCCGGAAGCTTGAAATCAGCTGGGGGTGAACACTTAGAAACGCCTCCCCCAACCCCCCCCCCCAAGAGTCGACCAATTGGACTTGTTTGTGTGTATACATGACCAATCCTCCATACATGTCAGCACGTGTGTGAGCAAGGTGGGGCCATCAAACAAGGCGTGAAACATATGAACGATCATAAACAGCTGTTGGGCTAGTGCTGCAAACCGTTTCTAAGTGTTGAAAACAGTTTCTAAGTGTTGAAAACCATTTCTAAGTGTTGAATTGGGTTGTAGCAGTCCGGATCAACACTTAGAAACGAAAGGTACCTGCTGGGGACAGCACTTAGAAACGAAAAAAGTACCTGGCGCCAAAAGAAAATTTCCAAAACCGTTTCTAAGTGTATGTCCGTCACTATAGCCCACCCAAAAATCCGCATTGAACTAAGGCAGCTGCACACTCATTGTCGAAAGTGGAGTCCTCTTCCGGGCAGTCCTCTTCATAGAGAAGCCTCCTTTGAGCGCACGGGCCGTCTCCGGGTCCCGACCCGCCGTGAGCGAAGAAGACGCTGCCAGTCTGAAGTTCCGGGTGGATCCACCAGGCGATGAGGCGGAAGCCCCGGAGCCCAAACTTCAGGTCCTTGGGGGCTCTGACCCCCTGCTCCTTGACAGCTGCAAATGTCATATGCTTTGTTGTTGGGAAGGTGGAACCCAACAAATTGCAAGAGCAACATGTGAAACGGGCAGGCTAAGTGCGGGCAATGGTCATAGTCAAAGTAGTTGGGGTTGGGCCGGATCAGCCAGTTTCCGCTGCGCCTCACCAGGCTCGGATTCCGGCGCCAGGCTCGCACCGTGGCGGTGTTGCGGCCCAGCAGCTCCGCCCAGAGGAACCTCGGAACAAAGCCGTGCTCCAGCAGCGCCTCGTAGTGGTAGGCGTCGCGGCCATCCTCGCAACGACCCCAGTCCCTTCGTGGTTGACATGGGGTACCCGTCGTGTTTGGCCCCTTTGGCCCGCTACGGCCCGCTACGGCCCGCTACGGCCCGCTACGGCCCGCTCCTCCTCGAGCTCCACCACCAGCCGCAGCTCCGTGGCTTCGAGGCGCCGCTCCTTCAAGGCGGCTTCCCACTCGAAAGGGCTGGCCCGCGCCGCCTGGGCCAAGAACTCCGGCCAGCCATGCGGCAAGGCCGGCAACACGAAGATCACCGCATCGGCTGCAGCCAGCCCGGCGGCCGCCAAACTCAGGTCGCCTCGCAAGGCTTTGCCCTTGTGCATGAGGACCGCTGCCTCTAGTCCAAACAAGCTGGATGCAACTGCCCGGAGCTCTGAGACAGCCATCTCTGCGTTCACCATCTCTTGGCGCGTTGCCAAACCGACGCACTTCAACTTCAGGTGCAAGACTGAGGGCATGCACCCCTGAATGCTCTTCGCCACCTTTGGCACTGCCCCCATACATTGGCACAACATGGGCGGTTCAAGAAGTGCTTCAGACCTTGAATCCTTCAAAGCAGCTGCTCAAATGTTCGAAGTGCTGCTTCACGCCTCAGGACCTTTAACTACTCAAGGGCCTTTAACTACTCAAATGCCAAAATGCTAGGGCCAAGCACGACCTGCAGCAACAGAGTCAGGCTGCATCTCCCGCGGGCTCTTTCACCGTGGTCTCTTGCACAAGCTCCAGCGCTGCTCTTGGCGTTGTCAGGTCCGGCCCAGCACGGTTCGGAAGGCCATCTCTCCTAAGGGCAACTGGCAGGCCTCAAATGGCTGTGGGTCAAAAATGTGTACCCAAAATGGGAACCCTGGTAAATGGAAACATGGATTAAACCTGTGGTCCCATGGTGGTTTAATTTTGACCAATACCCAAATGACCTATTTTGGGCTTGCCGTCATGCTGTCCGCCAGCCTGCTCCAGCTTTCTTCTTCCTCCTTGGTCGCTCCGCCTCACTGCTGAGGAAGCCTGCAACAAATGCAAGCAGGTCAGATCACTAAAGCAGCCAAACGCAACTACGCTCACCAGCTAGGTTGGCTCCCAAACACTCACAGTCACGCGGCGTCAGCCCAGTTGAATTCAAGGTGGGCAAGGTTTTGCAAAACAGCTGTGGAAGGTCCCTGGGCCAGCCGCATCATCTGTGAAACAATCCGAGAAACCTGCAGCCCTGACATGGACACGCGCCATGGCAGGTTGGCCACGGTGAAAGGCAGCAGCCTGGAGAGGCCGGTGAAGCGCTCCAAGAGTTGGACTCCAGCAAACTCACGCAGCTCGTGAAGACTTGCAAGTGAAGAGTCAAAGGAAAGCTCCATCTATCCAAATTGCCAGCCTCCAGAGCAAGGATTCGCCGCTTGCGTCAACGCGCTAACGCTGGCAGAACTTTGCCCCAATCACAGCTATCAAGCAGGACGTCCACGAGAAGATCGGTGGCAAGTGGGCACAAAGCACTGAGGTGAAGTTCCTTGATGTAGGCCTGCCTGTTGCTCAGGAGTTGCTTCTATCCCATGTTCAACTGCGTCCAAGCAGAGTTGTACAAGGGATGAGGCGCAACGACGCCGGCATGAGCCCGGGAGCAGCCATGGCCGAGCTGAAAGCCTTAAGCGATTGCAGCGTTCTTGGCTCATTGTCGGAGAAGGCTTTGGGCCTACGCCTGGGAACCCTGGGCTCCATACCAATTCCCATCAGAGCTACCTCGTCGGAATCGCTGCCAAACATATTGAACACTCATCTGTGACTGCCAAAGGCCAGTCTTTCATGCGGATCTCAGGGGCCAGGCGGTATGCGCCATCAAGCCAAAAGAGCAGGTCATGGATAGAAGACCCGCGGCTGGTATTCCCACTTAGCTCAGCCCACCCGTTTTAGCAAGTTAAAATGGGTGGTCTGAGCTAAAATGGCTGGTTCAACCCCCGAAAAAAATGAGTGGTCTGAGATTGAAATTCGGAGCCAAGTGGTCTGAGGTTCTAGTGCTAAAGTGGCTGGTTGAACCCCTGGCTAGAATGCATGGTCTGAGCCCTTTAGCCAAGTGTGCGAATCCGCAAAGCCGCCTTGCACGCATTCCTAAAAAGAGGGATTCGGGAAGACTGCCTGCGGGCCCCGTCCCTCTTTTTTACAGCAGTCTCGTTCTGAAAAATAAAAGGGAAGAAAAATGGTAAGAAAGGAAAATCTGAGGAAAATATAGCAGACTCGTTCCTTGGTAAGATCAACATCCCCTAGTGTGATTGCTACGGGCGCTTATTTCCCACAAGAAAGAGCAAAGTTCAAGAGCTGACACTTCAGCCGCCCAACTGAGACAATCCTAGCCTTCCAAAAGGCAACAAGGCAGACCCGCGCAGACCCCCAGAACAAAATACAGGCGCGATGGGGATCATGGACCCTTGCTCAACAGAGTAGTCATGGCGAAAATGGGTGGTTTGAGTTGGACGTGATGTGAGCCAGGGTGGTGGCTGAGATGGGTGGTCTGAGGCAGAATAGAATGGGTGGTTCTGAATAAAATGGGGTGGTCTGAGGTAAAATTAGCCAACGCTGGTCCTAGGATAAAATGCTTTTAGGTGGTGAGAGGCCACCCTTCTCAGCCAGCGATACCAACCCCCAGTGATAGAAGCTGCAGGGAGAGCCTTGGGACGGATATGCCAGGATTGCCGGGGGAACGGGATCAGTCCCAAGGTCATCCAGTTCTCCGCCAAGGGCCATTGCAAAGCGAGGTGCAGCTGACTCACTTGGGCCACTGGCGCTGCCCCGCCGCCCGATTTGCAAGGCTCTGAAATTCAGTGTTGGCCCAAAGGTAAACGGCAATGGCATTGTATTGCGACTCTGCGGGGTGCGGGTCGAGACAGGTCTTCCATTCGGAATGGCTGGGGCCGTCCTTGCTTGTTGGTTCACCCTGACCCTAGCCCCACCCGACACCTGCCGCTTTCATCGAAGAGGGGCTCTCAGGACAGCAGTGATCGATCTTCTGTCCCGGTGCCCGTGGGGTACCTCCCTGCCTCGTGTGCCATCCCAGCGAGGGCCAAAGGCGAGACTGGTCACCAGCGTCAGGGAAATGATGACGCGGACTGCGATGGAGTACTCCTTGCAAAAGGCGATGGGCGACTCTGAAGCCGGCAAGGCAGCCACCCCCTCCTTCCAAAGCCAAAGGCCCGTTAGAAGGTTCAAGTTTGCCAGCGCAAAGACCTCAAGCACATTCAAAGCAGACTGTGTCTTGCCATTGGTACTTGAGGGCACGGCTGTGTTTCCGATGTACTCGTGAACAGACCACTCGCTATCGTTGCCATCGTTGTCGTCCACAAGAATGCCTCAACTGTACACGCGGGACGCGCTGGGCCAGCATTTGGCAGAGCTCAGAAAGCCTGACAAGATGAACAGGTCAAAGAGCCTTCCCTTCACTCAGCTGACAAGCTGCGATACTTGAGAATGCCCACCATCACTTGCACCGCGAGCCCGCCAAGGCAGGCATAGCCTACGGTGCAGGCTTCCAGGGAAGCGATCCTGTCCGCTGAAGAACGAACATAAACGCATCAAGGAGTTGTGCCTTTTGACTGACGCCCAGCACCAACCCCAACCCTTCAAAGCCGCTGCCTTACACGGATACCCACGCAGCTAGAAAACCGTGGAAGCAGGCCGCAAATGCAGTGGCTCAAGCATACCCCCGCCTATGAAAATGTGACCCAGCCGGAGCCACGCAGGCCCCTCAGAAAAGCTGGACACAGCAAAGAGGGCCTGGTTGGTGCCCTGGTGTGCCTGGCAGTCGGGTTTGGCCTTCCAAAGTCCTGGTGTCCGAGTAGGGTGCTATTCGGCTGTTTCTACCGCGTGCACATCGAGGTGGAAGTGCCGCCACTTGAAGGGAATTCGATTCTAGTCTGCTTGGCAGGGGTAAATCTGATACTGCACCATTGCGTGCACCAGGTCGAGACAAACCAGTAAAATGGCCTACAGCATGCCCTTGGGATCCCACCTACCTGGTAGTTCACCACGTAGCCAGCCAGCGCCTCGCACGAGCTGGACAGGTATCAACAAAGTGGAAAAGCATCCCGCTTTGCAGCTTCCTCCACGCCAAGGCCATCAATGTCGAAATAGCTGATCAGGGTCCACATGAGCATCTCAAACACCTATGCCCCTTTTTCCGAGAGTTCAAAGTGAAGCGTTTCTGCTGCCCTTCCCCGTGCCGTCGGGAGGCCAACGCGGCCCCGCAGGCTTGACAGAAGGCGTGGATCTTCCGCCGGCTCTCGCGGGTGTCGATCCACTCCCCTGGCAGGTCCTGGCCGGATTGATTGGCACCCGCGACGCTTTCGACGCTTTCGACGCTCCCACCTCGTAGTTGTACATCCAAAAGCCGAGGCTAATCATCAGCGAAAAGGCGAGGCCTTGCGAAGCCCGGCTTCCCAGCCGAGCACATGCACAAGGCCTCCCAATCCAACGCACCACGCGCTTACATTCCCCAAGGCTCAAAGCCCCGTACCACTGGACTTGGCCCCAGGCCCATGAGCAAGGGGTGAAGGCGCATAATACTCCCCGCGGAGGTGGCATCTCGGGCCAGCGCACCCTGGGCGATGAGGGCAGTGCTGGCACCCATGAAGAGGAAATTCCTTGAGCGCAGACAGGCCAATCAGAGCACCAAGTGCTTCACTGGAGATGTTTAGCTGTTTGGACTTGGTGCCTGGAGGTCTGGTTTCCAAAGCCATTGGCTCCTGGCATGCCAGCCCACTCAACCTGGCCATTTCAACAATCCTGTTTCCCCTCTCTCAGCCTGCATGCCACAACTCCGCCGGGCATATCTTCAGGCAAGCAGCAGGCAGTCCTGCAGTGCAGAAAAAGATAATGCCTCGCCCTCTGCAAGATGCTTTGAGCATGCAAAAATGTGCAACTTCACCAAAGGTTTCCCGGTCCTTGCCAGAAATCGGCATCTTTCAGGATGCTGATGTACAAAGCGCCCATTGCGTCCAAGCGGAACAAGCTGACTGCTGGTCACAGCATTGAATACTCGGCGCTGTGCGTGTTGTGTGTCCATGGGGCGTGAACAACGGTTTCTTCGCGCACACCACCTACATCTTACAGGGCAGTGCTACTGTAAACACTGTAGTTTCTTGAGTGGATCGTGTTGGCTGTTCTTGCTCTGAACTTTGGATTTCGCCGTCTAGGGCCAAATTCAGCGACTGAAGCGAATTGCAACAAACTCCCCTGAAATGGCACAAGCGCGGAGTGGGAGGCGAACAGGCACGGTGGTGGCAAGCTGGGGTTTGGCAAGCCTTGAAGAAGCACAACGCCGCCAATTGCAATTGCACCTGGCCAACCCCTAGCCCCGCGCGCATTTCTGCCAGCCATTCGGTCCAGCCACCTCACCATTTCAGTGTGCTCTTGATCAGCTCGTACCTTCAGTCTTCAACGCTTGGTCATGAGAAGTGAAAACGCGCAAAGCTACCCCTCGGAATCCGTCATGCACTATCCCTCACTGTCAGAAAATATTACCGCTTGACTCATAACCGCCTTTGACCCTTCCAAGTTGCTCAATGCAGGAGGCAATTATATAGGCATAGCATGCACCCCTTTCCCAGTCGAATCGAACCTCTGTCGCAAAAGCGAAATGGGGGACCACCACGGGGTCCGTTGCAACAGCCTGCACCTCTTTTCTGTGCTACCACGTTCAACGCAATCAGCACTGATCCGCCTATGAAACCTTTGGCCGCCAAAATCAGACGTTGTGGTGGGGCAGGCATACATGATGCGTGCCGTGCCACGTGGCAAAGACCACTGCGTGCTGAGGGAAGGCTCTGGCCATAGTGGCTCCGTAGCCTCAACTTGACTCAGGTTTAAGGCCAAAGGGATCTTTAATCCAATGAACCAAACATCCACGGGCATGGGTCGGGAGGCAGCAAGCTTGCCTCACTTGAAAGAGTGGTCCATGCCATGTTTGGGCAAAGCAATGTGCAGTGTGGAATGTCAAAATCAAATGAACACGTGAACCTCAACAAGACATAATGTCCCAACCGACTGCCAATTTGTGAGAAGGTTGGGGCAAGCACATGCATGATCAGGTTACTTGAAAAAGATACCATTGAGCATCCCCATCATGCTTGAATCTGTGCAGGCAGCACAAGCTGTCTGAGCACTGAACCAGTCAAGCGCATGTCCTACTGGATATCTATGTAATACAGGGGAGACACCCCATGGAGCACCTGTTGCAGAAAAGCTGCCACGCGTCAGCACACCCAGGCCCTCCTGCTCGACTGTCGTCCTACACGCCATGAGCTCAATGTTCTTGGGCAAGATCATACCATCCACCAAATTGAGACAAGTGCCGCGCCGACAGAAACCCTTGCGGGCTCTTGTTTCTCCATCCCCCCACCCAAAGCGATGAAGGCTATGGACCACCCAGGAGGGAGTCATGCAGCCTGCACCATTTATGATGATAAGCCAGCTCGTCGGCATGCTGGCAGCCCAGCTACTTCGCTCTACCAGCGCTAAGTGAAATGAGTCTCGTGCTGCGGTCCTCAAGCAGTGCATCAAGGACCCGTAAGTGCCAGGGGGGGCGGTGGTCCAGCGCCTGAGCAGCAATCGGGGCAGAACATAAGTGGATATGAGTCTTTGATTGGGGATCCTACTGGACAAGAATCATGTGAGGGTTTATGTTCAGGAGCTAATTTCGGCGGTCGCCTTTGAAATCTTTAGGATCCTAAGGCGTCTGTCAACAGGCACATCAAGCTGGATCCGAGCAACGTCTTGATGACGTCAATGGGATAGACAGAGCTCCAAGAGCACACGCCTTCAGCAAAACTTATGGAAGTCTGCACTGGACACGTGCAGCGACAAGATGTCACAGCGACCCACATAGCAATCACACAAGCCCGAAAGGGCCTGCTTGGATCCACAAAAGGCCTTGCCTGAGACTCAGTTAGTGTTTCCGAATGTATAAACTTCCTACGGGGTCATGGATCCTTGAAGCAGTCTCGTCCATGGAGTGCCTGCGCATCCACCAGCCACAAAGCTAGACATGTCAGACTTGCCCAGGTTTCGGGAGATGAACTCATAGACAGTGAAGTAAATCCTGGGATGGGCTTCCAGCGCAGTGCCATAAAGAAAGCAAAATCGAACTTCCCAGCTATTGCAGTCGAAGCGCCCATTGCTAGGTGTGTCGCGAAGAACTGTCATCCTTGCATCCGACAGCGGGTCGGTGGGGACTACCCCAACGTTGCGGCCGCCCGGAAACGCAGTGAAGTCTGAAGAAGAAAAATGACCCTGAAGACTGCCAAGCGTCCCTAGCCCACGCAACGGGCCATGTGCACCAAGCAAGCCATTCTTTGTGACCAGGCGGTGCATGATTTCAATCTCTTCTCGAACCGTGCCCTGGTTCGTCAGGTTCGTCTGCGCAAGGCACTTGACGAGCTCTGTGGGACCAGTGATGAAGGCGCTGAAGGTGCCAGCGATCGAGCCAGCCAGGAAAATGTGCCTCGGGACAAACGTTGAAATGCGGAGGGCAGTGTAATTTTCAATAATCGATGTTTGTCGTGCGTGTGAACCTGTCGCAGGTTGTGGATGCTCCAACGCAACGATTGGATTCCAGGCTGCTTCAGATCCTGCTCTTCTTTGGATGGATCCCGCAAAGCCCTGCTTGCTGCCTCAAAGGACAAGAACAGCACCGCATTCCTCGGCTCGAGGCTTCGGGCGTGGCAAGTCCCGACTTGGGACCTCAAAAGGGAAGCGCCAGGCAGCTGGCCTTTCCCACACATTGTCTGAAGCGGACATCTGAAGCGGCGGCGCGGCCATTGTTGCAGCCCACAAATCCCCACTTGCGACCGCCTCTCTAGAGCCAGGGCACATGCCACCCACAGTGAAGGTCGGAGAAGCAAAGCCCTTCCACAGGCCCCTCACGCCTGCCAAGCGCAAAACAAATGCACGAGCAGTCGCGGTGCTGAACACGAACGATGTGCCACGCTTTGGCATGGTACGTGCCAATGCGGGAGCAAACTCATACCAATCCAAAAACGTGCACTTTGGGCCCATATGTGCGATTCTTTTGTTTTGGTCAGGCTGTAAGAGCCGGGCAGGCCCATGCCTGACATGCTTTGTGCGGCAAGGCCTTCCGCATGCAAGGTGGATCTGGCGCAGTCCACAATGCCATTGTAGGGCAAACGACCCAGGGTGTGGCTGTTGCTTTGCAGCCGTATACCTTGGCCACAACTCGCAGGACAGGGGAAAAGTTGCAAAGCATGGAAGGCTACAGCCGACCGAGGTGTTAACTGTGCATTCCAGCCAATGCGCAAAGGGTCGAAAACGCTATTGTATCTCACATCTTCAGTGTTTTGAGGGGTGAGTGTGGACGGGTTGTGACTAGAATTGGCTGTAGTTGGCTTGCTGTCCAATAGGGCGGGTTTAGTGGGTTTGGGCTCATGGCCCGTTAGCGCCTGGGCTCCAGGGGCCACCTGGCAAACCTGGCAAACCGACCCAAGTCGCGGATGGTGTCCATGGGCTGCGTGGCCATGATGCCCACAGCACCAGCCGTGCCCCCGGCCAGCAGCTCGGCTGCCAGCGACATGGCCGCTGACGTGCGCACCCCGTGCGCCGCGAGTCGCCGGCCACGCGGCTGGGCCGTTCGACGGATCTGGGCTCAAAGCTCCTTGCTGTCTGCCCAACTGCAACAAGCACTAGTTGCGTTCTTGCACGGGCTGTGGTTACCAGTCATGAAACTGTAAGCCGGATGGCTGCAAATTCGGGCAAGTAGGATGCAAATGCCCGGGCACCAAGATTCCTCTTGGATGATTCCACATTCTCAACATCAACAGTCTCAGGGTCACTGTGGCACAAGCCAAGGATAAACCCTCCGTTTTCCACCTCCGCGCTGGCTTCTTTGGCCTTCACGAGGCGCCGGCGCAGCAACGAGGTGAACCACGCCGCGGGCGCGTCCAGCGTGCTCCACCTGTTCTGGACACCAGGTCTGTCCAATGACTATGTTGCAACAGTGGGTAAGGCGGCAACGGCCCCAGGAATCACAGAAATTGGGACAAATCCCCTCATGTGCACAACCCCTCTATATTTACATCTCCCTCTACGCACTCATACACACATATTTTGTATACATATAGATAATGTAAATATCTGTACAAATGTATCTGTATATATATATATATGCATAATATTTGTATAAATATATCTGATATTTGCATCCACCGAAGAACCCACCTGCCTCGCACCAAGGAGCTCCAGGCACTTCTTCGCGTGCTCCGCCTGGGTCCGCTCCAGGAGGCGCAGGGCGCAGGGCCCCAGCGCAATCAGCTCGGGCCGCTGCTCCAACAGTCTCGCCACCCGCCACCGGCCGAAGAGGCGGCCCACCCCCTCAGGGCCAAGTGGCTGCGGGTCAAAAATAGGTACCCAAAAATGGAACCCTGCAAATGGAGACATGGTCTAAAAAGCCTGCGGTCGAGGCTTAATTTTGACCCACACCCACCAACCAGATCCGCCGACCCACAAGCACTCTTCCATAACACGCGCTGCCCCGAGCGCGTTGGAGACTTGTTTTCAGGGAGCGTGCCTGGAAGGGCCCCTTTGCGCTCAAGCTCCGCAGCAGACCCAGCGCCATCTTGGTCGGGTTCTCCAGGTCAGGACGCTGCGCCAACTCCTCCAGAACCGCCTTCACATCCTCCGCGTCCGCCAGCCTGCAGGGCACTGCTCGAACAAGAATGCACGATGCACAAGGACAACATCCATGGATTCGCAAATGATGCTCGAGCACGCTCCGAAGGCCTTGGAGCCTGCAACCGCACCGGGCTGCCCCGCCCCACGAGTCCCACGAAGGTCGCCTGAGCGTAGCCTGCAGCGACGGGTCCAGCTGCAGAGGGAAGCGCCGCAGCAGCCGCTCCAAGCCCTCCGCGCCCAGCGGCTGCCGGGCCCTGGCCCAAGAGGCACTGCCACCTAGCCAGCTGGGGATGAAGAATCAACTTCCCACCAATTCACAGCTGGAACCTGACAACCCGGTCCCTTCAGAAGGAAAATGGTCTTCCAGGACCCCTCTGTCAGGCTATGGATCCGTGGCGAAAACATGTTCGGGCATCTCTGCAGATCTCAAACTATCTGACCTGCAGCTCAGTCACTGATCATAGATACCAGAAAAGCCTCAATAATCGTCTGCAAATTCAAGTGTAAGCGCGTCCGTCCGCAAGGTGCTTGCATTCATGTCTCTCTTTCTTATTTCGCCTTTTGTGCCTCCAGCATTTCCCCCCAGGCTGTCAGGGTGCCGAGGGGTTCCGCTTCTTGTCGCTCGAGGCGCTGAACTTATCCAGCATCTCCTCTGATGGAAAACAAGCGGCCTGCCTCCCGCCTGACAGCAGTGTTTTTTGGGGGGGTCTTGTGCCGGGTACACAAGGTGCAGGCAGCCAGTCCTTGGCGTGAGATGCGTCCGTCCGGGCTAGCAATCTGGCTGCACATGGGCTCAGCTCACCTGCTCTCAGGATGACATACTTGCTGCTTTCCATGCGAGCGGTGGTGGAAATCGAGATGGTGGATGCTCAAGTTACGTTAAAGAGGGATCTTGACGTTCCCTTTGACCCCAACCAAGAGTTGATTGACATCACTCAAAACGCGACAAGGAAACAAGGTGCAACCTAGCTCCAAAAGACTTGGCCATGCTCGCCTCGAAGCTCGGGATGGCTCAACATCTCCTCTTCAAGGCCTTCTTCGCCAAGCCTCAGTGCATGTGTCCCCCCAAGCATCTGCATGGCAGGAGGTTGTAAGCCTCGCATATGTTTGATTGTCATGGCCCCGCAACCACCCGGCATACGCGCCGGTCAATAGCAGATCTCAAATCACCTGCTCAGTGCTGTTGCTGCTCATGGCTGAGACGCAGCCCAGTCACGGTGTTGCAGTGTCGACAAGAGGGCTATCGCAGTTCAAGCTCTTCAGCAGGCCCTTCCTCGAGGCAATTGCAGCACAGTCAAGCGGCAACACCATTGACCGGTCAGATGCAAAAAGTGCAAAAGCGTGTGGCCAAGCATCAGCAAGCGGTTTGGATTAGGATGGGCCTCCGCCTCAGCCACTTGCACCAGAGCCGCCTCCAGGGGTAGGGGGAGAGGAAACGTGGCAGCGGCGAGAGCAGACAAATCGTATCGCAAGGAGTTGACCCCACCGTCCTTTGCATCTGCCGCATCGGTCGAAACAATGGCCGACAAAATGTCGTCCTGCAGCGTCTCCTAAGCTTCAAGCAGTTGCAGCCAACTACAAATAACTAAGAACCCGACGACGCCAAAAACTAGACGAGACTGGCTGTGGAAGCCAACATTCCGTGGCTAACCACGGCCGGCCCTGCTACCAAGATAAGGCTGCTTACACCTTCCAAGGATAACGCCTGACCCCAAGCAGCCAACCTTGGTAACCTTGTGCTTTGAGGCCCTTGCTCGAGTAACAACGCTGTTTTCATGCCATTGCCATGTGTTTGTTCAATAGACCATTGAACGCAGGCAGCTGAGTCTCTCGCAGCTGCGGGAACTGATCCAGCAACTCCTTCAGGCCCTCGTGGCCCAAAGGATCCCCTGACTCCCGGACCCAGGTCTTGGAGGGCCGAAGTGGCGCACTCAGCAGGGAGATGAGGTAGGCAGATGGATCCCTGTCCTGCACTGGGTTCAAGCAAGTAACTTGACAAAGGGCCGGCCGAAAGCTGGAACTGTTTGCCAGTCCAGCTGGGACAGGGCAGTCGAACCCCCTAAGTAGAAGAGATTCGCTGTCCCAACCCTACCCCACAAAACAAACAGACATACATGCATGCATGCACGCATGCATGCATACAAACAACACAAAACAGCACAAAGCAAGCAACCGACCAAGCAACCGAGCAAGCAAGCAAGCAAGCAAGCAAGCAAGCAAGCAAGAAAGCAAGCAAGAAAGCAAGCAAGCAAGAAAGCAAGCAAGCAAGCAACAAAGCAAGCAAGCAAGCAAGCAAGCAAGCAAGCAAGACAGCAAGCAAGATAGCAAGCAAGCAAGATAGCAAGCAAGAAAGCAAGCAAGAAAGCAAGCAAGCAAGCAAGAAAGCAAGCAAGCAAGCAAGAAAGCAAACAAGAAAGAAAAAGAAAGCCAGAAAGCAAGCAAGCCAGAAAGCAAGCAAGCAAGAAAGCAAGCAAGCAAGCAAGATAGCAAGCAAGCAAGATAGCAAGCAAGAAAGCAAGCAAGAAAGCAAGCAAGCAAGCAAGCAAGAAAGCAAGCAAGCAAGCAAGAAAGCAAGCAAGATAGCAAGCAAGCAAGATAGCAAGCAAGAAAGCAAGCAAGAAAGCAAGCAAGCAAGCAAGCAAGAAAGCAAGAAAGCAAGCAAGAAAGCAAGCAAGCAAGAAAGCAAGCAAGCAAGCAAGAAAGCAAGCAAGAAAGCAAACAAGAAAGAAAAAGAAAGCCAGAAAGCAAGCAAGCAAGAAAGCAAGCAAGCATGAAAGCAAGCAAGCAAGCAAGAAAGCAAGCAAGAAAGCAAGCAAGCAAGAAAGCAAGCAAGCAAGCAAGAAAGCAAGCAAGCAAACAAGAGAGCAAGCAAGAAAGCAAGCAAGCAAGCAAGCAAGAAAGCAAGCAAGAAAGCAAGCAACAAAGCAAGCAAGCAAGCAAGCAAGCAAGAAAGCAGGCAAGCAAGCAAGCAAGAAAGCAAGCAAGAAAAAAAAAACAAGAAAGCAAGAAAGCAAGAAAGCAAGCAAGAAAGCAAGCAGCAAAAAAGCAAGCAAGAAAGCAAGCAGCAAAAAAGCAAGCAAGAAACCAAGCAAGAAAGCAAGCAGCAAGCAAGCAAGCAAGCAAGCAAGCAAGAAAGCAAGCAAGCAAGCAAACAACAAAGAAAAAACAACAAGAAAGCAAGCAAGAAAGCAAGCAAGAAAGCAAGCAAGCAAGAATGCAAGCAAGCAAGCAAGCAAGAAAGCAAGCAAGAAAGCAAGCAAGAAAGCAAGCAAGCAAAAAAGCAAGCAAGCAAGCAAGACAACAAGCAAGCAAGCAAGAAAGCAAGCAAGCAAGAAAGCAAGCAAGCAAGATAGCAAGCAAGAAAGCAAGCAAGCAAGCAAGCAAGAAAGCAAGCAAGCAAGAAAGGAAGCAAGAAAGCAAGCAAGAAAGCAAGCAAGAAAGCAAACAAGAAAGAAAAAGAAAGCCAGAAAGCAAGCAAGCAAGAAAGCAAGCAAGCAAGCAAGCAAGCAAGCAAGCAAGAAAGCAAGCAAGAAAGCAAGCAAGCAAGAAAGCAAGCAAGCAAGCAAGAAAGCAAGCAAGCAAGAAAGCAAGCAAGCAAGAAAGAAAGCACGCAAGAAAGCAAGCAAGAATCAGCAAGAAAGCAAACAAGAAACCAAGCAAGCAACAAAGCAAGCAAGCAAGCAAGCAAGCAAGCAAGACAGCAAGCAAGATAGCAAGCAAGCAAGATAGCAAGCAAGAAAGCAAGCAAGAAAGCAAGCAAGCAAGCAAGAAAGCAAGCAAGCAAGCAAGAAAGCAAACAAGAAACAAAAAGAAAGCCAGAAAGCAAGCAAGCAAGAAAGCAAGCAAGCAAGCAAGAAAGCAAGCAAGATAGCAAGCAAGCAAGATAGCAAGCAAGAAAGCAAGCAAGAAAGCAAGCAAGCAAGCAAGCAAGAAAGCAAGAAAGCAAGCAAGAAAGCAAACAAGAAAGAAAAAGAAAGCCAGAAAGCAAGCAAGCAAGAAAGCAAGCAAGCATGAAAGCAAGCAAGCAAGCAAGAAAGCAAGCAACAAAGCAAGCAAGCAAGAAAGCACGCAAGCAAGCAAGCAAGCAAGCAAGCAAGCAAGCAAGCAAGCAAGCAAGCAAGCAAGCAAGACAACAAGCAAGCAAGCAAGAAAGCAAGCAAGCAAGCAAGAAAGCAAGAAAGCAAGAAAGCAAGCAAGAAAGCAAGCAGCAAGATAGCAAGCAAGAAAGCAAGCAAGAAAGCAAGCAAGCAAGCAAGAAAGCAAGCAAGCAAGCAAGCAAGAAAGCAAACAAGAAAGAAAAAATGCAAGAAAGCAAGCAAGCAAGCAAGCAAGCAAGCAAGCAAAAAAGCAAGCAAGCAAGAAAGGAAGCAAGAAAGCAAGCAAGCAAGCATGAAAGCAAGCAAGCAAGCAAGAAAGCAAGCAACAAAGCAAGCAAGCAAGAAAGCACGCAAGCAAGCAAGAAAGCAAGCAAGCAAGCAAGCAAGCAAGAACGCAAGCAAGAAAAACAAAAAAGGCAAGAAAGCAAGCAAGAAAGCAAGCAGCAAGAAAGCAAGCAAGAAAGCAAGCAAGAAAGCAAGCAGCAAGCAAGCAAGCAAGCAAGCAAGCAAGAAAGCAAGCAAGAAAGAAAGCAAGCAAGCAAGCAAGAAAGAAACAAAAGCAAGAAAGCAAGCAACAAACCAAGCAAGCAAGAAAGCAAGCAAGCAAGAAAGAAAAACAAGCAAGCAAGCAAGCAAGCAAGCAAGAAAGCAAGCAAGCAAGCAAGAAAGCAAGCAGCAAGAAAGCAAGCAAGAAAGCAAGCAAGAAAGCAGGAAGCAAGCAAGAAAGCAAGCAGCAAGCAAGCAAGCAAGAAAGCAAGCAAGCAACAAAGCAAGCAAGCAAGCAAGCAAGCAAGCAAGACAGCAAGCAAGATAGCAAGCAAGCAAGATAGCAAGCAAGAAAGCAAGCAAGAAAGCAAGCAAGCAAGCAAGAAAGCAAGCAAGCAAGCAAGAAAGCAAACAAGAAACAAAAAGAAAGCCAGAAAGCAAGCAAGCAAGAAAGCAAGCAAGCAAGCAAGAAAGCAAGCAAGATAGCAAGCAAGCAAGATAGCAAGCAAGAAAGCAAGCAAGAAAGCAAGCAAGCAAGCAAGCAAGAAAGCAAGAAAGCAAGCAAGAAAGCAAACAAGAAAGAAAAAGAAAGCCAGAAAGCAAGCAAGCAAGAAAGCAAGCAAGCATGAAAGCAAGCAAGCAAGCAAGAAAGCAAGCAACAAAGCAAGCAAGCAAGAAAGCACGCAAGCAAGCAAGAAAGCAAGCAAGCAAGCAAGCAAGCAAGAACGCAAGAAAACAAGAAAGCAAGAAAGCAAGAAAGCAAGAAAGCAAGCAAGAAAGCAAGCAACAAAGCAAGCAAGCAAGCAAGCAAGAAAGCGCAAGCAAGAAAGCAAGCAAGAAAGCAAGCAAGCAAGAAAGCAAGCAGCAAGCAAGCAAGCAAGAAAGCAAGCAAGAAAGCAAGCAGCAAGCAAGAAAGCAAGCAAGCAAGCAAGCAAGCAAGCAAGCAAGCAAGCAAGCAAGCAAGCAAGCAAGCAAGCAGCAAGCAACCAAACAAGAAAGCAAGCAAGAAAGCAAGCAAGAAAGCAGCAAGAAAGCAAGCAAGCAAGAAAGCAAGCAAGAAAGCAAGCAGCAAGCAAGCAAGCAAGCAAGAAAGCAAGCAAGCAAGAAAGCAAGCAAGCAAGCAAGAAAGCAAGCAAGCAAAAAAACAAACAAGAAAGCAAGCAAGCAAGCAAGAAAGCAAGAAAGCAAGCAAGATAGCAAGCAAGAAAGCAAGCAAGCAAAAAAGCAAGCAGCAAGCAAGCAAGCAAGAAAGCAAGCAAGAAAGCAAGCAAGAAAGCAAGAAAGCAAGCAAGCAAGAAAGCAGCAAGCAAGCAAGCAAGCAAGCAAGAAACCAAGCAGCAAGCAAGCAAGCAAGATAGCAAGCAAGCAAGAAAGCAGCAAGCAAGCAAGAAAGCAAGCAACAAAGAAAGCAGCAAGAAAGCAAGCAAGAAAGCAAGCAAGCAAGAAAGCAAGCAAGCAAGAAAGAAAGCAAGCAGCAAGAAAGCAAGCAAGAAAGCAAGCAAGCAAGAAAGCAAGCAAGCAAGCAAGAAAGCAAGCAAGAAAGCAAGCAAGCAAGCTCTCTCTCTCTCTACCTCTCTGTCTCCGCCGCTCGCTGCGCTCCTGGCTCCCGGTGGCGCGGAAGACCCGCAAGGCCTCCGCCGCGTGCACGGGTTCCGTGCGCACGAGCAGCCGCACCGCCACGGGCCGCAGCGCCAGGCCGGCCGCGGCCGCGGCCTTGCTTCTGCTTGTTTCTTGAGGTCCAGACTTTGCAACGGGCAAGGCTTGACACAGCCTCGAGATCCCAACAAACCTCGAACTTGGCCCGCCTCGGCGGCACTTGCTGCCTCTGTAGGGCCCAACTCCGCCGCTGAGTCCTGGAAGGGGCCCTGGCGACTGAGCGTACGCCTGGGCTGCGCACAAGTTGCGGGAGGCAAGGCGCAAATCCGCGCGTGCACCGGGAGGTTGAAATCTACTGGAGCAAACATGGCCAGCCAGCTATCCTAGGAAGCCCAGCTGGGTTTTGCGGGTTAGCTTCTGGAGGCTGACCATTCCAAGCAGCAAAAGCTCCATGAGCTCCCGAGTCGGATTCGCCAAGTTCGGCCTCTGGGCAAGCTCCTCCAGCGCGGCTCGGGCATCCTCCGCGTCCGCTGCCTAGCCGAAATTGCCGGACCACAAGGCAACGTGTCACGCTTTCGTGGGCCATTTCCATCATGAAAGCCAAAAAAGGGCTCCCAGAAGGGCGGCCTCCAGCACCGTCAGTGCATCCTCGTGCAGCGGTCCGCGCGCAGGGAGCTGGCGCAGCAAGGCCTCCAACCTCACGGCGCCCAGCGGGTCACTGGTCTTGCGGATCCACCTGATGGCCGGACGCCCGCCAGCCACAAGCCCCAGGTGCAGAGATAGAGAGCTAGATAGAAAGCTAGAAAGACAGATAGACAGAAAGATATAGCACTTTCTGTGTACTATTCCTTGAGTTTGTTCTCACCCCTACATACCCTTGAATCACGCGGGGGCGGTTGTCTTGCCGGGTGCCATGCTTGAAAGAGGGGGGCATCCAGGATGACGTGTGCTTTTGCAAATGGGAGGCCCTACAGGATTGCTGAGAAATGGGCACGTGAGGAATTGTGTCCTTGTTTAGTTGTCGGCAAACGTGATCTGTTTTGGACTAAACCACGCTTTTGGAACACCCCCAAAGGCCAACCACTCAGAGCATTGGCTTCTGCAAAATACCAGGCCTGCCAAAATGTCTGCCTTTTCTTCGGCCTCCCTTGAAAACAACCGCAAACCGCCTGGCCTGCCTCACACACCTGTCCGGACAAACAAAATAGCACCATTCAGGACAGCCACCTCAGCGCTCTCCTTCTCCTGGGCAGCGCCTTGTCCAGGTATGCATCTGCCAGCGAGGTGAGAAAACTTGTCATGTCCTTCTCTGGGTACGGCTGCTCGAGTCCTGGGCTGTCGGGGCGTCCATTCTATTTATGCCTCAATGGACAAAGCACCAACTAAAACTGCCCAAAGTCCCCTGGTTGACATGCTGACGGCATATCGGGATCGTCATCCCACTGTAAACTCCTCGAGCGAAATGCACCTCAGCGATTCCCGGAACTCCAAACACTAGGTCACTCTGCAAGTTGCCACCTTGAGTTGCGCCCCGCGAAGCAACAATCAAGCGACCAGAGCCGACGGCAGTTTGAGGGCTGTCGCCGACTTCGACCCGGCGGCTCCTCGCGCGAACTCGGCCAGCGCCGCCCCTAGGCGGCCCGTGGGCTCCAGCTCCGCAGCCTATGGGCAAAAGCGGTGCCGTTTGGTTCTCGTGGCTTTGTCCCCGTGTTGTTTTCTTTTGCATCTGGTGCCCCTTGTTCTTCATTGTGCTTGCAGGTTGGGAAGATGACAAACAGCTGCAGCTCAGGGCCTCGAACGATTCTGGCGTGCAGTTGGCAAACTTGGAGCAATCGCCGAGGGAAGCTCTGGTGTCTGGATTGGCTGGCGTTCTTGGGGCTGGATCCATTTGTGCGATGCATGCGCTTGCCCGCAATGAATGCCAAACCGATAGCATGAACAAGGCCAGCTTTGAATATGCAGGTTGACAACTCCGAACCAATAGGCAGATGGCATGAGACAAAGCTCAAACTGAACAGATTGACCGAGCACAAGCAAATCAGAAAAATGTTCCTGAGCGACCTGCGCAATGCCCAAGTGCAAGCTCACGTGTTGAAGTTGGGCCAAACACGTGGAGCAAAGCCGTCCTGGCCCACCTCAAGGGGACACCCCACACCCCACACCTCCAGCACAAGGGCGCTGGAAGCAGCAGTCGGTAGCCACCCTGGTAGCGCTCAGCGAAGCGCTTCAGCGCCGCGGGGCCTCGGGCGAAGCGCTTCCCCCCCCCAGCGCCCCGCCCGTAAACATGCTCAGTGTGCAAATCGAAAGATGTCCACCATCGAAAGTGCTCATAGGCAAAGACGGAGATGAGCAAACGGAAGCCTCCCAAACGGAAGCCAACTTGCCCGACAGCGCTTCATATAAGGGAGAAGTTTGACTGCGCTTCGGCCAAGGCAGGAGTTCACATGACTGTCATGGTCCATTTGCTCCTGAGCTACAGCCCCCATAAAGGGTCGCTGCTTGCTTTGGCCCAAAAGGAAGCTGCCTGCCGCCAAGCAAGAACTCACCTTTGATAAGCGGTAACCATACGGATCATCTAACAAAAAGACGCTGTATGCCTGACAGAGCTCCACCCTCCTGCCCCTCCCTTATCCACGCACCAAAACGCCAACCTAGCAATGCCGAGAGACTGTAGCTGGCAGGTTCTAGATCGGGCTCCTGAGACTCGCCGTCCCACTCGCCCATGCAGAACAGCTGCCTCAACCGCAGGGAAATCCCCAATCCCCAACCCCCCCCTCCCCCAATGGACCTGCAACGCGACCGAGCCAGGCGTTCCCATGTCCAAGGCACCACTGTCTCTGACCCGAAGGGCCGGACTGCGCAATGTCGCTGGCCGCACGCTGCCACTTGGGCTGCCTGGCCCGCAGTGCTGCCCTGGCGGTCCCGGCAGTCCTGGCCCCAGTGCCTGGGGCCAGGAACAGCCTGCGGCATGCGCAGGGGAGCAAACCTTTTGTGCGCAGCCCGGCTGTCCGCTGAACAAATCGACAAGGAAATTGGCTAGTCACTTTTCAGCTTCCAACAAGCCCTGCCGTGCTTCTTGACTTTCAAGGAGGCTCGCCTAGCACTGCAAAGGCAAAGGACCAAACACCAGCAGCGCATGCCGCAAACAGCTGCTTCTGCTGATCATCAGCTTATGTTGAGCTGTTGGGTCAAGCATATCCAGCAAGCCTGTCGGCTCTCTTGCCACAAATTCACCTCTTGCCGTCATGCTGCTACTTCACTTCTCGTGGTTACATTTGCTGACAGCTGTTGAAACGTAGATAGCTCAAAGAAAAAGCTTGTGCTGGGTGTGCAGAACAATGATGCTCGTAGCTTATGAGATTGCGATGACATGGCCGGTTGATAGCGCGTTATGGCTGCCTTGACAGCGCTGAGCACAAGTCTGCTTCGGCACTCCCATCCAGTGAATCGAACTTCAAATGGGTTCTCATTAACTGGCGATGCAGGACTCGACGAACCTGAAGTCAACTGCCCCTCGACTTCCCTCTGCCAGCAGCCACCAAACTCCAGTGTGCTTTTGGCCGCGCCCGGGCTAACTGTGCCATGCAGGCACGGAATTACGGAATTAGAGCTGCAACCTAGAACACTTCGTCCAGCTCGAAGGTTGCATGATTGTCCTGAGGCCACGCAGCGTCTCTCCACACAGTGCCGCAGGCAAACTACTCTCGGGCGCCGGCTTGCAGGCGCAGGTAGTACTCGCAATCATGGCGCTTGGACCAAACACGGATCCAGCCGTCCGCCAGAGGCGCAGCTCCTCCATAAGGCGACTGGTTTGAAGCAGCTCATACGAGTCACGCGCATCACGCGGGCTTTGGCACCCTCCATCCCACGAAAGCCGCCCCTTCGTCTCTTCCCGCAGCTTCTCCCGGCGCTCCTGCCCAGACCTGGTCTTGGACACGCTTCCTTGGGCTTCGGATGGAAATCTCGCGAGGCCACAATGGAAGAGCGCATGAACCCTGCGAGGTTAAAGGAACAGCTTGAGCGAGACGCACAAGTGCTGAAAAATGACAACCAACAACGATTCAAAAACAGAGCCTGAGCTACACGGTTCTGCAACTTCCTGGACACGTGCTCTCCCAGCATGGAAAGACGCCGACTATGGCTTCCATGTTAGCGTTTCAGAGAACCGGTGCAAATAAGCAACGGCTACCTTCTCTGCGCTGCCAAGCTTCCAATCATCGATTGAATCGGGCCACGCACCCATCCTGTCAAGGACTTCTTTCGGATTCGGCGGCGCCTCGGATGGCATATGGCTGATGCCCTGCGATGTAGTCAGCCTGTCTGCCCCTCAGAATCACCAGATATTGGCTGCACGCAAACACTTCCAAGAAGCAGGCAAGTTGTGTGGAGTGCACTTTTGACAATTGCTGGACAAGGTGCCGCGGCAAAATTCCTGGCGCCTCCGGAGCAACCCCTCAGCCCTCAAAATGTATCTCTCGTCTATTATATATATATATATTATATATCTCCCTCTTGCCCTCAGAAACCGTGCCGCTAGGCGTGGGGTTACGAAGGAACGTGGATACGACAACGTGAGCGCCTCCAGCTCGCTGCCAGGGGGCGGGCTTCTTTTCCTGAGGCTCGGGTCAGGCAAATGCAACGCACCGCGCCCGCGCGAAATGGGCAAAGGGCCAGCTGAATTTGCCGAGTGGCAAAGGTGTTGTAGGCGCTGGTCGGGGCAGGCGCGCCTGACAGGCCGGCATGTGACCTGGTGACATAGCGTTTGACACCACAAAAAAGGTTGCATTGGCCCTGGGAGCTGTGTGCTCAAGTTGCCCCCCAGTAGACAGGCCTGTTTTCCATTTCTTCGCATCCTTGCAGGAACCGGCTGCCGGCACAAAAGAAACTAGCAAAGCTATCAAAGCTGAAGGCCACAACTTTACACCGACTCGCCAAGTGCCGGCAAGCAGCTCTATCATCATGATCTGGACCATTCCACATCTCCTTCCGCTTTTGTTCCTCATGACAAGTCCACTCCAGCTCGCAGGAATAAGTGTCCACTCATTGAACCCAGGACGAGCGGCCTTCTGCCAACCTGTGCTGGCGGAACTGGTGCCCCACCCGCCATCATTGCTCTGGCCTGAATTTCTTGGCATGCTTCTCATCTGGTATGTCAAAATTACTTGCCTGGGATGTATTCATTCCGATGTTAGGACGTCCCTATTTAATTGTCCTCAGGTTTTGGGGTATCGTTTTGATGGACGTCCCGGATCGTTATTAAACACAAAACACAAAAAATACACCAGCATTGACCCCAGAATAGCAGCGCTCGCACACCAGCACCTCCAAAAGCACCCCCCCGAAGAACGCCAAGCAAAACCCAACCGTCAATCGAGCAAAAGATGCGCCAGCACCATCACGCTGAAGAGCACCCCAAACAGCACCCCCCAAGATACCCAGCCGTCAATCTTGCGAAAATCAACCAGCACCCCAAACAGAATCCCAAACCACCACCTAAGCTGCATGCCCCCTTGCACCCTACCGTCAAGATGCAAACATGCACCTGCACCGTCACCTGCATGCCCCATAGCACCCGAGCGTCAATATCGCAAAATGCGCCCGCACCGTCAGCAGCACCTCAAACAGCTCCCTACAAACTGCGCCCCACAGCACCATCAGCAGCAGCACCCCAAACTGCATTCCCCCCTGTCCTAGCGTCAAGATGCAAAAATGCGCGCGCGCCGTCACCCCAAAAACAGCACCTGCACAAGCTCCCCAAACTGCATGCCCCCTAGCACCTCGTCAATTTTCAAAAGATGCGCACGCACTGCCATCAGCACTTCAAACAGCACCCCAATCAGCACCTACACCAGCACCCCAAACCACACGCCCCCTAGCACCAGCCCAATAATCTTGCAAATCACTTTCCCAAATATTAGAACCCCTATTATAGCTTTCAGCTATCTGGGGATGAAAAAAAGAACGTGCATAAAACACTCTTAAATCAGGCAAATGACAGTCATTTTAATGCTACATCGTTTCAATCTGCGGTCGCATCATCAACATACAAACGCTGCTGAGCTGCCTCCACCGCTCTTGGCACCTTGCCAGGACCTCGGCACGCTGATGTTAAATCTGGTGGCTGGATGTAAATGTTCAAAGTTCCTCTGGATGAGGCAGGCAAATGCCGTCTCAGTCGCTCTTGCTTTTTGCCGTTGCCCCAGCCCCCATTCCTTGGTTCGGTCAGGTTGCTCCTCCTGCTGCTGCTGCTGCTGCTGCAAACTGGCCATGAATTCCCTGGGCCCTTCCAACTGGAAGAGCGATGCAGTATTTCCCTCTGTGTATGCAAGCTAACCAAACGGCACCACACACAAGCACGCGATAACTCTTTTATCCGAGCAGTGTGTTGGTGCCAGGGACTCATCTTCCCCTGTCAGATGACAAAGGCTGGGTGGGCCCCATGGGCCACCCAACTCACAATCTCAAAAACTGAAGAACGGGTGTGCAGACTGATAGCGCCCGCCCCTGAGCCGGGGCCCGTGGCACCCAGGCCACAGGGGGGTCTGCCACCAGGGGAAGTGAGTCGCCCACCGGCTCCGGTCACGGGAGCATGGGTGGGCCCACGCTAAGATCAAATGCATCTCCATTCAGGAGACGCGGGAGAAAAACGAACTCCTCGCAGAGTTCCTGCTTGGGGACCCTTTGCAAAAAGGGAGCCCAGAGAGATCTGGGTGCAGCAGCTCAGCCCCCATTTGAATTCACGGGGCACGTGGTTGGCCGCCAGCGCGCAGCCATGGGCGTGGAGCAGGAAGACCAGCTCCATCAGGATCGCCGCCGTGTAGGGCTTCTTGGATCCAAGGTTGAGCATCGCCATGACGTTGCCCTGATTGTCACTGCCCACCGGGAGTCGGACCCGGGAGGACAGAGGGCCTTGGTGCGTGAGGATCATGTTACAGAGGAAGAGCGTGCCCAGCATCTCCAGAGCCGCAATCCTCCGCTTGGGATCCCCATTCTTGAAAGCCCAAGGGTACTCCTCCACGTGGATCTGCTCGTGGAACCAGTACACCTCCTTCTTTTCCGGCTCCACTTTGTTGGAGCACCAACCTCCCACAAATGCCAGTCCTTCGTCCGAGGCGCTAGCATCGCTGCAACCCCACCAAGAGGACTTCGGCAAGTAAGGGGAGTACTGGACGAAAGGCGTGTTGAAGAGGAACCGCAGCATGAACGCCAGCATCCTGACCACCTTGGGGGGTTTCCCCACCGTGGTGGTGGCCATCTTCCAGGCCCAAAGTGGCTGGAGCATCGACTTCGCCAGCGGACATGCAGCCGTCGCCCATTGGATGCGACCCAGGGCCTTCTCGATGTCCTTTGAGTGCATCGCCTGCCCTTCCACCATGGTCTGCAAAACCTCCATAACCAGGATGTGTTTGTTGGCTGCCATGAGAACCTGCGGGATGTTCGGGTGGACCACGAAACCCAGCCACGTGTTAACCTCCGCCAAATGCGTCTTCTTCCAGCTAAGCGGGGTGCCCAAGGCCAGGAGTGTTGCCAGCAGCGCCACCGCCAAGTTTACTGCCCCCTCGCTTCGAAGCAGCCACAGGAAGTCATCGACAAAGACGAAGTTCCAATCCACTTGAGGGAAAAGTGCGTAGAGGACCCTGAGTAGAAGGGCTGCCAGGCGTCCCCAGTAGGATTGGGCACTGGCCATGCCATATGTGCCTACCTTGTTCACCCACCATTCTTCCCCCAGTGAGGCCACCTGGAACCGCCAGTCCTTCCTGAGGACCTTCACTCTCCGGTGGGCCTTGGTGACGTCCGCCTTGAGCAGCACCCACCTGGTGCCCGGCTCCGGCCATAGCCAGCCCCCAGGTGGAGGTTTGACGACCCCCCTCTCGGGGCCAGGGGCACCCTGAGAGGGGGGTCCCTCCGCAGCTGCCGCATGTAGCCAATGAAGAGCTTGGACCCCATCCAGCACCGTCGGAGCCGTCGTCCTTTCCACCGTCTGGTTCCTGATGGTGTCATTGGCCCCTCCCACCGAGCCATCGTAGATCGTGCGGATCTTGTCCCCCTCGTCGATGCCCGCTAGGGGGCCGGGACAAAGGTCCTCGATTTCGCAGCCACAGCGCGACGCTGCCTCCACCTTACTGAAGGGGCCCTCCACCATGCCCATGGGGACCTCCTCCAGAAATGTGCCCCGGATGAGCTCGCTGAAGTGATCCGCCGAGGGGTAGTTACCCCTGCCCGTTGGGTGAGGGAGTTCCTGGAACTCCGGCTCCTCCCCTTTCCCCAGAATCTTGGCCTTGGGGTCCGATTCCTTGGCCGCTGAGCAACCCAGCTGCCTGATAAGGTCCTGGGAGTAGCCCAACCGGTCGTACAGGGCCCCCGCCGCCTCCTGCGGGACCTGCTCCACCCAGTCATGGACCACGTTGCAACGCCAGTTGACCTTGACCTCCACCATGGAGGACTTACTCAGGCCCGACACCAGCTTGGTGTACACCGAGTCGAAAGCCCTCAACGATGACAGCGGAAGGGTGATTCGCTCGTCGCAGACCGCCCTGAAACGCAGCGCCTCCTTGCTGTCGTGGACGGGGGCCACTGGGATCTCCATCACCGGCAACGGGCAGTTAACGATGAAATTCTTGGCCGCCAGAAACGTCCCCATCTCCTTGAAGATGTAGCTCCATTCCGCCTTGCTGCGCGGCTTGGGGATTCCCAGGCTCTCCAGGAAGGGGACCGCCTCCTTCCTCATCTGGAGGATGTTGCCCATCCACTTGTCCGAGGCCGAGCCCTCCGCATTGCGGCCCCGGCGCTGCGTCTTCACGATCAGCGGGAAGGTGGTCCAGGCCGAGTAGATGTACTTGAAGGTGAACCTGTGGGCGTACACCCCCGTCAGGCTCGGCAGGTCCCACGTTCTCGTCTGCCTTGTCCAAAACACTCCATCGCCCTTCGCCCAGAAGATCCCCACCACCTGCTCCGGCGCCGGGCGCTCGCCCCGGTTCACCTGCGCTCGGATCTCCAAGGCCGTGTAGATGACAGGGTCGATGCGGTCCTGCTTGCACGTGAGTGGGTGGGTCCTGCGTTCCAGGGCCAGAAGCTCCTCCGGAGTGAGCTTGAATTGCTGGTCCGCGCCCTTGGGGATCTCACCGCTACAGTGCTTCTTCCAGATCCCCCCAAACATCCGTAGCTCACCTTGGTGCCTCTTCATCGCCCAGAGGAGCAGGGACAGCTTGCCCTCCTCCGAGTCCAGGTCCTGCTGTGGCATTGACTGGTCCCCCCCGGAGCCAGTGGCACCCTTTGGGGGGGGCCGGTGTCGCCAGATCGGGCATCTCCTCCAGCAGCGCCTCCTGGTTCCATGGGTTCTGCGCCTCTCTGAGCCTCCTGATGTAGGGGACATACTTCTCCTTGATGTCTCCCACGTTGGGGATGTCCTCGGGGTCATCCAGCTCCAGGGGGCAGAACAGCCCCCTCTCCAGTGCCTGCCTGAGATCATCTGGCCACGCCGACACTTCCAAGGGCTTGAGGGTGTGGTTAAGCATCCATGCCTGGTTGGTGTCCTGGGTGCGCTTGTTCGCCTCCTGAGCCTCCTGGATGGAGCCCATCGCCTCAGCCAGTGCCTGGCTGGCGTCAACGCCCTTCCCCTCCAGGTACTGATCTCGCAGCTTGGCCAGGAATCGCTCCAGGTTGACCTTCCTGAGGGCCCGGGCTCCCTCATTGGCCACCTCCTCTGACGGCAGGGCCTGCATGCCCTCCTGGAGAGGCGCCAGGATAGCCATCTCATTGTCCAGCATCTCGTCCGTGACCAACTCCTTGTGCCGCCGCCTGGCCGAGGACTCCTCCGGGGTCGGTTCCCGGCGCTCCCTCAAGGCCTTATGCAGCTCCTCCTTCTTCCGGATCGCCTGGTCCACCTGGGGGTGGTAGAGCTGGAAGCTCTGAGCCTCCGCCTCCTTCAGGGACCGCTGCACTTTGACCTTGACCTCCTGGCGCTCCTGGACCTTCAACGCCTCATCGTCCGCCTCCATGGACAGGATCTCCTGCCGGATGTCCACCCGCCTGTTGAGCGGGACCACGTCTGCCATGGTAATCTCCTCTGCCGTGTCCGTTTTCGGAGGAGCTCTCCCCAGGACCGTGCCGTCCACCAGGTTGCGGTCTGCCTGTGCCCGGGTACCACCGGGGCCAGCGGCACCCAGGCTTCCCCCTTCCCGCTGCTGGATCCAGGTCGGCTTGCCCTCCACAATGAGCAGGTTGTACTTGACGCCGTCCGCCTCGTAGGTAGCCGAGGGTGCCTGGAAGGGGACGAACTCCTTGCCCGGGCAGACCCAGCATTGCTTGGCTGCCTCCCACCCCGTGCCGCATGCCTTGCACATGAATTTGTAGTCTGAGTGGCCGGCATCGAGTCTGTGCATCCGCTGGGTGCCAATGCACGCCTTGTTCCTCTGGAACTGTGAGGCCCAGACCTCCTCCTGCCGGATCTGGATCTTCATCGGAACATAGGCCTCCAGGATGCGAATCACCAAGTCCTCCGTGAGATTCTTCCCGACAAACTTGTGGAACAGGGAGACCGCCTCCTCCACCGTGACGTCCCTCAGCAACGTGGCCGCCGATGCCGGAAGGACCGGGAAGAGGTCTGGGAGGTCCACTAACTTGAAGTAGCCGGGACGGCCCTCCACCGGCACAAGGGAGACCGGTTTGTTCACCTGAGCCGTGGTCTTCTGGGAAGCCGCCACGAAACCCTTCAGCCTCTTCGTTGGTGGAGTAGCCCGCTCCGTGGCGTCCGCATCTTCCATGTCCTTGTCCTCCTCCTCGGCGGGGCCAGGGGCACCCAAGCCGGAAGTCGGTGTGGAGAAAGCCACACGGAGACGCTCCAGTGCACTGGAGAGGTCGTTCATCACGTCGGTAGCCGAAGCCGACGGGGGGGCCTCGGGCTCGTCCAACACCAGGCCGGCCGCCACTGCCGCCTCGCGTGTGCGGATTTCCTGGGCCTCCTGGCTGGCCATTTCCACCTCCTCCGCGGTGAGCTTCTGGTCCTCAATCAGCTCGAAGGAAGTTGCCGAGGTTGCCGAGGAAGCCATTGCTGGTTCGGGGGTAGTTCGGAAGTGTTCAAACTCAAATTTTTCACACAAATTGGGTTCAAAGAACCCAGGGCAAAGCTTGAGCCAAAATGGCATGCGCCATTATGGTCAAGCATTGCCAACACAGTTCATGTTTCCACATGCGTTTCAACATTAACAAATACTGATGCTGTTCACCAACTACCAAGTGGCTTCTCCTCCTTGCTTCCCCAGTCCTCAACCAAGCAAGGCATGGCCACGACACAACTTGCGACATGCGTGCCAACAGGCATCAGGCATTGTACTTTGCATAAGCAACAGTGCACGCTAACTCGCAGCAGCAGTGCCAGCTCTCCCAGTTTGGTGATGTTTGACCGGCGCAGCAAGGTTCTCACTCCCGCATGCCATAAAATTGTGATGACCTCATCCTACTGAGCCCACAGCTATTGGGGCGCCCAACCTACAACCTACAACCAAGCCAGGTCAGCAGGCACAGGGACCGCACTTCGGTCGCCCACTTTCGGGCCCCGACTTCCTGCTTTTCCAATGGTGGAAAAGAAGCCAAATCTGCTGAGACGATTGCCGATTCTTCCGAATGCTGAGAAAGGCAAACAGCGGGGCTACAAATGGCGGCGTGCGCAAACATGCCGACACCAAAGGGCCGCCCAATGCTTTGAGGGTCTTGCTCCAGTCGGCCCGAATCCGCAATCGTTGCGGCATTTCGGCAGAGTGCCCCCAAAAAGTCCGTCACAGGCAACCAAAAATGGGTCGCTAAGTTTGGGCCTATGTACCATCTGAACGTATCAATGTAATTCAAGTTGGCACCACACGTTACACACGAGCGCGTCCTGCTTCTGTCCCCAGGCTGGTTGCTTATCTGCCTGAAACAGCCGGCCAAGTGTAGCCTACACGCTGCTCTTAGCCACATGCATGACAAACAAACTGCCAAGACAACCAGGCGGTTCCAAGACTCGCTATGACTCGCTCATCTTATGCCCGACCACGCCTTCCAGTCATCCTTCTTCTTCCAGTCATCTTTCTGGCCCCACTCGTCTTTCTTCTTCCAGTCGTCTTTTTGGCCCCAGTCATCCTTCTTCTGTTCTTTTTGGCCCCAGTCGTCTTTCTTTTTCCAGTCATCTTTCTGGCCCCAGTCGTCTTTCTTTTTCTGGCCCCAGTCATCCTTCTTCTGGTCCTTCTGCTTCCAATCGTCTTTCTGGCCCCAGTCGTCTTTCTTCTTCCAGTCGTCTTTCTGGCCCCAGTCATCCTTCTTCTGGTCCTTCTGCTTCCAATCGTCTTTTTGGCCCCAGTCGTCCTTTTTCTTCTTCCAGTCGTCTTTTTGGCCCCAGTCATCCTTCTTCTGGTCCTTCTGTTTCCAATCGTCTTTTTGGCCCCAGTCGTCCTTCTTCTTCCAATCATCCTTCTGGTCCTTCTGTTTCCAATCGTCCTTGTTGCTCCAATCATCCTTCTTCTTCCAGTCATCTTTCTGCCCATCATCCTTCAGGGGAAGCATGACATGAGTGCAACAGCGTCAAGCGAGCCGTTGATAACCGTCCCTTTCCCATGGCCTGGCCCCACTTCTTCTTTTGATCCCAGGACTTTCCGTCATCTTTCCCCTTGTCATCCCAGGACTTCCTTGGCTCGAGGAGATGTCAAGAAGTTGTTTGCACGTCAAAATGGGGAATATCTCGAATGGTTCCGTGTTGCTCCCCTTGCCAAGTCCACCAAAGGGGCCCTCGCATCGGCACTGTTGCAAGCAACCGCAGCTTGATAACTCGAGTGGAAGAAGCATCCCAGGCAACTCCAGAAACATCTGCGAGCCAGTCCCGCCGCGCGTCGAATCGGAGCCCCACTTCTTATCCTTCTCCCAACCTCCAGTGGCAGGGGATGGGCCACTCGGCAAAGCCATCAAAAAGCATAGGCCAAGGTGCCTTTGTCCTTCTCCTTGCCCCAAGATCCTGAACTCCGGAACGAATACATTCGCAAGTGAAAGAAAATGAGGCCCCCTGGGAACGCCTGTGCTCAAAGCTTTGAAGGTATCAAAAGATCATGGCCTTCTTGCTGGCCAGCCCTCGCAATGCCTGGAGACCCAGGAGAGGCAGAGACTCGGTCCTTTGTCGTCGGACCAGTCTTTCTTCGCGTGCCTGCGCTGAAGTTCAAGGGCGACGGGAAGTCGGAATTGGCATCCGAGGCGCTTGTCGCTGCTCCAGTCTTTGTCATCCTCCCATTTCCTCTTTTTGTCCTTGGCTTTGCAGTCGGCTTCGTGAAGCAATCCCCTTGAATGCCTTGAATTGATAGACGGAATGTCCTGCACTCCCTCCGCTTCTCGTTTGCATGGCAAATCCCCGCTGAGCCGAGGGTCATCTTCTTGCCAGTCTTGCTTCTCGTCCTTCCACTCCTCGTCATTCTTCCACTCCTCAGCCTTCCACTCCTCCGCGGGCTCCACCTCCTTCAACTCCTGGATCATGGACACCGCCGCGGCCTGCTTCTCTGTATCCCAGCCTCAGCCGGCTGAGGTAGACACCTAACGAAGGGCATGGGGCGGTGACTTGCTGTGCGCCGGAGTTTGCCGGGGCAAGGCCGCAAGGCCCGGGCATAGGATGGCGCAGCGAACGCTGTCCTCCACACCGGCGAGAGTGGCGCCCTCGTCAAAGAAGGCCACGACCCCCAGCTTGTCTGAAACCTGGATGTGAACATATCCAAACACGTGCATCCACCTTGCACAAGCTTATGATCCCTTTATAGAAGGAAGGCCGCATGCATCTGAGTTTGCGGCTTCGTCAAGCACGCGCTGGGGCAGATTCTTCTCTTTGTCTTTTTCAATGTTGATGGTGATCGAGTCGTCAATTTCGTCCACCTGCACGGCCGTTTGCTCACCAATAAGAAAGACTTGTTTCTCTCTCTCTCGCTCTCTCTCTGGCGTTGCGTCCAAAGCATCTAGACTCATTTAGAAAAAATGCAACCCTCAACATTGCGACGTCAGCCTGCGTGGCATCGGGCTTCTCGCCGAGGAATGGCTTCAAAAAAGCCTCTGCGCGTGCGCAGTCAGCGGGCGAGGTGCTCGCCAAGTACATGGTTTGCTCCTCGGATAGCATAGTGTGCCTCTTTATGCATTCCACGTGCACCCTGCCTCCCTCAAACAGGAAAAAAATATCGACCAACAAACCAACCAATCAACCAACCAAGCAACCAATCAACCAGCCAGCCAGCCAGCCAGCTAGCCAGCCAACCAACCAACCAAATGGTGACTCAAGCCCCTGCAACTCCAAGCTTCGACTGGCACCATGGCGCAATGTGCCGCCACACTCAGCCGCCGCACAAAGTCCTCCTGCGGCCAAAGCAAATCCGTCTTTCCCTCCCGCCTGGCGAGCACTGGCTCAGGCAAAGGCGCGAAAAAGTTTGGTCCCTTTTAAAGAGTGCACGCCCCAACGCATGCCCGTTCCATTCTGGCCGCCCGACATTGCCATGGGAAGCTTGGTGTGCCCCCAGCAGCTGTGGACCCTACTCCTGCACGTTTGTCGAGGTTGGACACGTGCTGACCGCGAGCTTCTCTCCAGTATCCAGCACATGGTCCTTGAGTCAGTCCCCAACGGGCACGGATCCCGTTCCCAAACACACAAGAAGGGAACCAATGGCCCCCCCCTGCAATGCCGACAAAACAACTCATCATTGCGTTGTGGCGCTCATGCCCAGCCAAGCTTCGCCAGTGCTGAAAACGCCCGGGCTGGCTGCCTGCAAAATGCTTCACTTGGCGACTTGGCTGCGGCGGGGGGGAATTGCCCAAACCACATGGAGTACTCATGATGTGAAACGTCACCAAGCTACTTCAGGCACCCAATGACAAAAACGCGAATGAGGGAGTATTCAACCCATTGCGTGTGGGGGGGTTCCCCGGGGGCGGTGAGGTGACCCAATGACTTCTTCTACCCAAAGCTGGCTCAACTAGCTCTACCACCTTTCAAAATGCCCGGCAGCATCTCTTCAGTTGAGCACCCCAAATGATAACCCCCCCCCTTTCGGGCACCCAACGAGGTCAACCAAATGACCCACCCCCAGCTCGCCCTAAACGCGCCCCCAGCTCGCCCCAGGCTCGCCCCCTCGGCCTCCAGCATAGCCGCCAGCCGCAGCACCGCCTCCAAGCGCTTCTCCGGATCAGCGGCCACCACCAGCAGGCGCCGCCCTTTGGCCCGCTCCTAGGGCTACAAAATGCCGACGGACGCCGAAACAGCCCAGGGCTGCGGAAGGCGAGAAGCAACCAGCCGCAATAGTTGACTTGAGGTGTGCTGGCTTCTTGCATGCTTTTCAGCATGTCCGACGTTGCTGGGGGAAGGAGGAGGAAAAAAAAAAGGAAAAAAAACGCGGATTCAACGCATCAACCTCTCAGGGAGTCATCAACTCATGAAACCAACCTGTGAACCTTGGCACATGTGGCAAATCTCCCTTTACCGTTGCTTTTGCAGAAACCTACGCACATGATTGGGCGCAGACCCAAGACTTTTAAACCCAGGGGCACGTTCTTGGGCCTCCTCCGGAGCCAGCTGCTCTCGGACGTTCATCGCCTCAGGCTGCCGGACCTATCGACCCATGCCAACCTCAAATCATTCGGGTCACGGACTTTAAATAGGGGAAGAAAGTATGGATAGAGTGATCTGTCAGGCAACGTATGCGCAAAGAAAAACAAGGGCAAACCAATGTGCTACCCTCTTCGGAGCAACCCTGGAGCATGGCGACGTCCATCACATAGCTGAAATGGAAAGCACTTTTGATGAGAGGGGTCTCACAAATTCCCCAGTGCTCCAGTGCTGGAACTACGGGTGCAAAAAGGCCGGGTGGGTGTATTTTGTAGCTCTTTCACTCTCACTGAACAAGGGCACTCACTCAGCTCTCCTGCCAGCGTAAAGGGGGCGTAAAACAGATAAGCGTGCCACCAGGACAGAGGCTTCCTGCCCGTCTCGCAGGAATTTGACCACAAAGGTCCGCCCGTCAGTCTCATCCTGGCACTTGCAAGGGCTACCGCTGAAAGGCAACAGCCCCCACGACAGCTGCAAAGGGGGTTCCAGTGCAGTGCGGCTCTGCACTTACAAAAGAAACGTCGGACTCTGCCTCGTCATCTGAATCGGCGGCCCAGCTCTTGATGTCCAGTATTGCGGCTTCCAACCACTCGCCCTTGAACTTGCACTCGACAATCTGGTCCTTCGATTGGTGCACAAACACACCCAACTCCCAAATCTTTGCGTTTTCACATCGTGGAGTGGAGGGCCCTGCCTTTGCAAACTCCTTTTTCAGCACTGTCTGCTGCACTGGGTTCGCCAGAGCAATAATGATGGAATCAGTGCTGTCCTGGCAGATTCCGGATTGCCCTCCCTTGCTCTCAGCTTGGGCAACCTGGCGTCGTGGCGTCGCGTGTATGCGTCAGGCATTTGCAAAGCCTCCCGAGTTGGGGCTCCTGGATGGGATGCAGCTGCAGGTCGCCTGAGACAGCTGCACTGGCAGATCCCGGCACCACCAGGGAGGTGACAACGTCCTGAGGCAACTTTCCAGCCATGTCAAGCTAAGTCTCGCACGCAGCACACCTCAGGTTGTGTCCTTCAGTGCCAGCGGCAGCTCTGTGGCCTTGACTCGGAAGTCCACGGCGGATTGCAGCAGCTCCAAAACCGCCTGCGTCCTGCACGGCAAGGCATGGGGCACTCGCTGGCGTGACATACGGCGTCGCGTCACCATGTGCCTGGACCGCTGATCCGGAGTGCCCACAATGAAGGCCTGCTTTGTCTCAGTGTCCTGGCGAGGCAGCGTCACACTTGCCATCAGCTTCCCATTTTCGCTGGAGAATTATTACAAAGCTGGGAACGTGCTCTGCTCATGGTCATTGTCGTGCCCTTTGTCATTTGCTTCAAGACGCACAAGTCCTTGCCCATGAACTCAAAGCTGCTACCGCAGATCCTCTCCGTCTTCTGCTTCGTGGCGCCGCCTGGATCACCCCCCTCCCCCACTCATTTACCCCGCAGGTGTGAGTTTGACATGAGCCGGTAGGTCATCATCACTGCCGGAAGTTCGGAGAACCCTCCATCCTTCTACAAATGTGACTATAATTGTCACCCCGCATCACACCATTCACCGTGGCAGCAGTGGTTGTGGGACCCACAGCTACGTGACGCCTTGACCACTCGGTACGGGGCCTTTGCCGATGAGCTTCCCCAGGCTGCCGTCCCCGCCAGGGTTTAAGTCCTGAGAAGGTGATCCAGTCGGGAGAAAAAGAAAAACACTCTTTGACGGTCAGGCAAACAGGGTAGCGTGGGGGCATGAAACTTACTCTTGTCGATTTAAGCCACTTCTGCTTCGCGGCTGCCAACCGCTCGCTCGTGTGCATCGAGCAAGTTCATCTGCCAATAGCTTCGGCAAGGAGACAGACAAGAACAAGTAAGAGGTCCGTGCTAAGGTATGACAGAAACGCCCGGAAGCAAACAGCAAACCAGCTGAGCAAACCAGTGCACAAACGTGGATCATGACACGGCAGCCAGGCATGCATGCCAAGTCGCCATGATGGTCAGACCGACCATGCCTTCCTCGCAAGCTCTTCCCAGTGCAGCGACATGACCAGGAGCCTGATGCATCAAATCTGGGCCATCACCAGGAAAACCACAATACACACCTCGCCTTCCCTGCAACATACGCGCCCCACACACACACACATGCAAAAGGGTCAGCTCTCACTTCCCCGCTCCCTCTTCTCCAGGGATCCTGTATGCCATGTTTTTTGTGCACTAGTGCTTGGACTCCTCACATCCCCTCATCTTCGCTCGTAGCCAGCCGCGCCAGCCGCTCCAGGAGACGACACAAAATAAGAAGGAATTGTTTTATGTGTTGTTCTTTGTATTTATTTTATTATTTTTTTATTTTTTTTTGAGGCCACATACTGCAACACGCGTGGAGCCCAAAACTTGGTTTTTGCAAAAGGAGTTTGCCTCGAAGTTAGCCAACAGAAGTGCCACAGAACCGCCTTGGCTTCGATGCGGTTCAGCACCTTGACTTCCACCTCCAGGCGCGGCCTGCGCAGCCCCACTAGCAGCAGCTTGGCCTGGGCGATCAAGCGCCCGGACTGATGCGGGAGATGCGGAAAGCACTTCCTTTGCTGTTGAGGCTACGCCCCTTGGAGTTGCCCAGCGGAAACCCAATAAACGCCGCAAGTGTTGAGGGGTTCTGCAATTCAAGGCAAACCCTTGCGGGTCTCTGCACACGTTTGGGTTGCTGGGAAAGTGTTGGGAAGCATATCCTGCCTGGAGACCTGGGGACTGATGGGACTGTGGAAACATTGACGTGCATGACGTGCAATAGGAGACCCTGGCGGTGCAGTCACATCTCAAGCTGGCTGAAACCAAGCCCGGTCCGAAGTCCGGCATCCGCTCCTTTGACCACCCCAGCCTTAGCAGCTGCCCCCACTTAAGCCAAGGGACCGGCGGCGCCGGGGGCTCCGCCTCCTTGGCTTTCACCTCCTGGGGGTCCAGCTCCGCCTCGCTGCCATCGTGGCCTGCCACGGTGCTGAGGAACATACCTAAGGAGCCTGAACCAACAGAAAGGGTCGCATCGACCCGCGCGTTCTTCTGCGACAAAAAGTTTGCCGGCAGGCAAACTCAAGCTCAAACAGCATGCGTAACGCCGCCCCTCTCTCGTGCCATCAAGGTGCCCCATTTGACCTTGATCTTGTCCTCAGTCACGGAGACCACCTCTGCGGCGTGAAAGCTGTCACCGTACTTTGCCTCGACCTGGTGATTCGATGCTCTATGACCGGACGCTGGCCCGCTTGATGTGGGTTAGGACTCTTGGGACTCTCTCACCCTCTCGATTTTGACCCACTAGCTACCATGCTCATCAACCCGCTGGAAGTGATTCCTAGATGCCTTGGCCCAAACAAACCCCAAGAAGGTCTTCCACCCCTCGTTACAAGAAAGATCAAGCAGACCATCCGGGACTCATCTGGTTCAATGCACAGCGGAATGGGCTCCGAGCCTGGTCGCCCTCCTTCAGCTGCGCCGGCGCCTCTTTGGGCTTCACTGAGCTGCTGTCCACGTCCTCCTCGGAGCCATCGAAGCCTCGGCTAAGCTACGGGAGGCTGGGCAGGTCGGTGCCAGGTCGGCAGAACCAACGACTTCCATCGGCTATCGGATCCCTATCGCTAGCCAAGATGCCCCACTTGATTTTGACTTTGTCATTCTCGGTGCTGATGACCTCCGCCTCGAACCAGCTCTCACCATATTTGGCTTCAACCTAAGGCAGCTTTGCAAACCGCGCAAGGCATAGGACGGCAATACAACTAGCCCAAACTTGGCCAGCCTTGTCACCCTCCTTCACCTCGGGCGCGGCTTCTGCCTCCTCCACTGCCTTCCGCCGCACATCAGACTGGGCCAGGTCAGCCTCAGAACCATCATGGCCCCACTTGACCTTGACGTCGCTGCCTGGCAAGGACTGCCACGGCTTGCAGGGGCCCAGCAACCCGCAACTCACTTGAAGCTGAAACTCGATCACACTTCACCCTCTCAATCCCACACATCAAGCCTTCGTCAGAAAAAATAAACACTGCTGAACCCTCAGAATGTGCCGTGACACAACCCCCTCTCAGCCCAGCATGCATCACACGTACAAGTTCCAGTCTAACTGTGTATATATATATATATATATTGTACGGTATATGTGGTCAAAGGCATCCAGAGCCTGCGTCAGCAGCTTCAACAACTTCGGCATCAAACCAGCTTTCCCCATACTTGCCTTCGACCGCGTCGCCTTCAGGGCGACGGTCTGTGAGTGGCAGTCTTTGAATCTGACTTCAGCCCAGATTCAGCCCAGAACCACTTGACTCCAATGCTGACAAAAGTGCCAAGCGTTTGTTCAGAAGCTTGACTGCGAAGGTCATCATTCCAGATTCCTAACATATAAGTGCATACAGCGGGGAATCGGCTTGGTGGCACCAAGCATTCTTTCAGCAAATTGCAGTGGGCCCAGTTGACATTCAACAACGCCAAAACAGGCAACTTAGTATTGCTGGCCTGGCATGGTAAGTGATCAAGTCACTTTGACATGTCTGTGTGCGCTAGCCTTTGGTAGGCAAAACAGCTGACAGCAGTCAGATTGCCCATGCGCCATAGGCCATGCATGGGTCTTGCAACCCCACCTGCTTCGTATCGCTGAGGTTCCGCGCTTTGCGCCTGGCGTGCCCGCACTCATTCCGAGAAGTACATAACGCATGAGCTCGGGCAGCCCACTGCCATCTCAGGACAACAGTCTGGCACCGCGCCCCGACACGTGAACTGTTCAATGCTTCAATACTTTCGTTGCCCTCACACGCAAGCCAAACAAATCCTGCCCTCTGGGGAGCAACCGTCCAGCACTCGAGGGTCCCGATCCAAGGTTTCCAAGGCCAAGGAGCGTCCTGCGACTCTGACTGGGTCCAAGTGAACAGAGCGATGATGTCCGACGCATCGCACCTCAGAATCATAAGACCTACTGTTGACGATTGAAGCTCGTGCCAAATCAATGATCGCAAACAAAGCACCGTCGAACCAGGAAGTGGCGACAAACGCGTGTGTCTGTGCACCGGCCACCCCCCAGCATGATCCAGGCCACCATTTCGGGGCCCCCAAACACCCCACACCGGCCAGCGGCCACCAGAGCGCGGCGACCCCAAAGCGACCGCGGCGCATCTCCAGCAGCTTGGCGCCCTCCTTGCCGGAGATGGCCTTCTTCTCCACGGACCCGGGCACCTCCACGATGGCCACCCCCAGGCCCTCCAGGTCGGCGCTCGCCTGGACGGAAACGGACCCTCCAAATGGGCCCTCCAAATGGGCTCAAGAAGGTTATTGGAGTGCTTCCTCCAACCAGTTGTCAGCCGTCAGAGTGTTCCAACACTGAAAGTTCATAGCCAAATGGGCTGGTCATAGAATTGGACCCCCTCCTTTGGAAGGAAGCAAAGGCGCCCAGCTGTCATGACAGCATCAAAGGGTTTGCACGAAAAAGGGAGAGAGAGAACAATGAAGAAAGGAGGAAAGAAGCAGGCAAAAGATCGGGGGCCACAATGAAGCCTTGGTACTGCTCCCAAACGCTCTCAAGGCGAACAGGCCTCAGCAGCCTCGATCAGCCCAGCGGTAAGCTCCACCTCTTCGCCGGATCGCATGGCGCACCTTCCAGGAATCTGGTAGGGACCGTCCCTTTGGCAGCCAGCAGCTGCCCGTCATGTCAACATCCAACCATGCGAGACCCAAAAGCGTTGCACCAAAAACTGTGCCAACATGTCGGGGCACAGTGCGCGGGCACAAAGCTCGCACCAAGAGTGGGGTGTGCCACAGGCGCCCAGCGGCAGGATGTTGGGCGTCATCTTCAGCATGCCCTCCTCACTGGCCTCAGCCTGGCCGAAACCGTCCGCAACGCAGCATGCATCAAGCGTTTTGGTGCGCATAGAAATCGTCAGGCCATCCCAAAACATGAAGCAAACGAGGACCCCCCACGAGGACCCCCCGACATTTAAACCACCTGAACCCAAATGAAAATTGCAGTTTTCCTGCTTGCTGCTTAGAGAGTCGCTGTCCGCGCCCCGAGCCCCACACGCGTTTTTCCCTCCGCTTCAGCTCCGCGGTGAGGCACCCAGCCAGCCAGGCGGCGGTGCCGACTGCGCTGGCGCCGCACGCGGCTCGCGCTGCTCGCGCGACTCGCGCACGCTCGCCCGGCCCGGGGCATTGCCCTGCCAGTCGCTTGGCGGAGAAGCTTCCCGCCGTCGCTTCCGGCGCGACGAGTGCTCCTCTCGCGGTCTTTCCGGACGTCTTTCTACCTCCGGCGGTGGCATGTAGTAATGCCCAGGCCACGCCCATGGGCTGGGTGCCGCAAGATGAGGCGCCGGTGCTGCAAGGTGAGGCGCCCATGCCGATACCGGGATTGGCGCCATGTGAGCCACAGGTGCCACAGGTGCCACAGGTGCCACCGGCACCGGTGCCACGGCTGCCATTGCCACGGGTGCAAAGGCTGGTGCCGAGCCCGGCTGCGGCTTGCCAGTCTCCTTCTCCTGGCTGTCGTCGACGTAGCCTGCTGGATCTCCTTCGAAGACGTGGCGGTCAATGAGCTCACAGAGCTGGCGGCCCACCCCGTTGGGCAGCTCTTGGCCGTCTCTGGAGATCTTTACCGACTTGTTCCTCAGTGGGGGCGCAGCCAGCTAGGTTTAAAAAAGAAGCCAAAAACATCCCGTCTTCGAATCTTCCAACCGGAAAGGTTGCGCAAAAAGAAAGCAGGCTTGGAAAAACACACACACACACATGCACAAAACAGAAGAAGTACCACCCAGGTTCTCGTTCCAGGGGTTCAGAATGCCCGAGACCTCGCTGAAGTCCAGGTCGTCCAAGCGCAGCCAACGCACATCAAAGGCGCGCCCAAAGCCCTGGAAAACCTCGGTGGACACGCTGCCAACAGGGCTCAGCATCTTGGCGTAGCCCTGGAAACAGCCGCTGCCGTTCACAGAGAAGGCCAAGATCACATGGGAGGCACACCGGAACGCCTCGTTCATCTTCTCCAGATTGGCTCGCGGTGTAGCCCACACCTTGTGCTCAATAGAAAGGACGATGTTCTTGTGGCTGCTGCTCTTCATGATGAAATATTTTGTATGAGGATCCCGATGGATCTTGGACAGTGGTTGTGTTGGGCGCTTGGTAGGTGCGTCCTTTGCCGCCTGACCATTCTGGGTACTGATTGCAGCTACCGCCTGAGCAGTCTGAGCAGGAGCCGGCTCATCATCATCCCAATCTTCCTCTGCCTCTGCCGCAAAGCTCAAGTCCATGAAGGGGCGGCCCACATCAGAAAGCCTCGAAGTTCCGTGCCGCGCTCCTTCCACTCCTCTACCGCCCAGGTCTGTTCCCGTGGGACTGAACCTTTTATGGCTGCTCAGATTCTTGCTTCAGATTACGCAATATCTCAGCTGGCACGTGCTGCGAGCCCCTGCGCATTTCCAAACACGTCTCAAGGCTGCGCAATGGTGCTCGGCTACAATCAGCCTTTACCAAAAAGCATGTTGATCAGTAGCGATCATGTTTGGGCGTGCTCGCAGCATACGAAATGCGAGAGTTGACCGTTGGACAAATACTTCCTATCTTTTTCTCAATCTGACACACAGACTGTCTCAAGACCGACAACAGCTTCAACCACTGGCTGAGTCCTGCAAAGGGCCTGTCACATCCGGAAACGAAATCGCTCCAAGCCGAAGCAGTTTTGAGGGATCGGGCCATGCCGTCCAACAGCTTCGCGCCTCGCCGCCCGCCAGGCGCTCGAGCTTCCGCAGCCGCCGGCCCTCGTCCTCCCGGAGCCAGGCCGCTGCTTCCCAGCCCACATCTGCAAAGCGGGAGATGGCAACCCCAAAAGCCAGGAGTGGGGTCATGGAGCCGTCTGCTTTGACCAACTTTCAAAGAGAGCAGTGTGTGCTCCGCCGCTCTTGCCCTTTCTTTGCTTTGTCGCCCTATTTCTGTGTTTGCTCTCCCTTTCTTGCCACGTTTTGAAGCCGTGCAAATGCTTCTTCGCGGCCCCTCTGCTGCCCCGTGCACCATTGGAGCAAGAGTTTCGGAGCTAGTGTGTCCAATGTGCATTGCTACCAACCATGTCAGTCCTTAGAGTCAAACAAACTACCTGAACAAAGGTTTGCATTTTGAATGGAAGACTAACTGGTCCAAGCTACACGGAACGTCTTTCCACCAAGAAAACTGACGTTGGCCTGAGGGACATGCGTGTGGTCCCCTGCGTGGTAAACTTACTTGGGCGGAAATAGTTGTTTTCGCTTTTCACGCAGCTGAACGTGCGGCAAGGCGAGGAGGGACATGACAAATTTATTAGCTACTCGAAACAAACTTGCCCGTGCAAGAGTTTGCTTCTTGTTGAACTTGCTTCTTGTTCAGAATTGCCTTCCTGCGTGCAGGTGTCAAAAGGACTTGAGTGTGCAGGAAACAAACTCTCTCTGGAACATTATGTGTACTTATTGCAAACTGTCCCGGGGCGAGTTTGTTTCGAGTTTCCTGCGGTAGGCGCCCACGTGCCCTTTAGAAAGATAGAACTAAAAGTCATGGAAGCGCAAAAAATAGCTTCGCTTGTATAAACAAACATTTGCGCACTCCATCCGACTCACTCGATTCATGCTCGCGAAACGGACAGTCATGCCACAAGTTCTCTCGCCGGACAAGCCAAAGCACTTCATTTCTCAAAGGTATCCAAACAGAACCTCGCCACGCCACGACAGTACATATTGCGCACGCACGAGCCAGTGAAATCAGCGAGCGGATGGTTGCACGATTCTTGCCACTTGCCCAACCCAAGGCCTATCTTCACCACATTGGGGTCGTCAATGGCGCCGGCCTCTGCGAACCGCCCGCCATTCAACCCAAGCCCATACATCAGAAAAATCAAGCGAAAGAGTCACAAGCAGAGCTTCTCATGCCAAACAGGCATTTTCCAGAGTAAGGCCGCCCCCCAGGAATGCGTGGATTCTTTGCGTTCGAGATCTGAGTTGTAGGGAACACCCAGTGCACTAAACAGATCCAAACCAGGGCACGTCCGCATCACCGTCGGCCTCGCCGGCCTCGCCGGCCTCGCCGGCCTCGCCGGCTTCGCCGGCTTCGCCGGCATCGCCGGCGTCGGCGTCGCCGCCTTCGGCAGCTTCGTCCTTGCCCTCTTGCTTCTGGTCGGATGCCCACCAGGCACTGCCTCACTCCCAATCTCATTGTTTGCAAGTTTTCCTGCAAAAGCCACGCCCTCTCGCGGCAAAGATTGCCCCATTCCCCGATTCTGCACCAAGTCTGTCAAACACAATGGGCACTTGGAGTGCCAGAGGGTGGAAAAGTCCAACAACTTCCAGCGGCTGCAATGCCCATGGTCAATGCACAGTTGCTTTGTGCAAGGGGCTTTGGATTCACCAAATTGAAGGGATGCAAGTGCAAACTCTCAGGCATGCAACACATGGACGATCGCATCCCTGAAGCCTGGATAGTTTGTGAAGTTGGTACCCTTGCCTGACCTGTGCTTCCTAGATGATTCTGCAGGGCCCAAAGCAGCCAAGGCTACCGTCTTCCTGCTCTTCATCCATCTCTTCGTTCTCTACATGTGCCGCATCCTCTTTCCTAAGATCGCCCGCTGTGCAAATATGTAGTGGTTGCAGCATGACGAACAAAAGCGACGAGTATCTTATCCTCCTCCTCCTTCATTTCTGCTTCCTCAACCTCTTCCTCGCTTTGAGCGGGGCGTTTCAAGCCAGCAAGGCCAGGCTCGTGAAGACCCGAGAAAGATTGCAAAATAGCCCACAGTAATCTCAACTCAGACGCCGCCATCGAAATTCTAGGACAACTCGGCATGGTTGAGGCCTGGGGCTGATCATCCATGTGCTGATCTTCAGTCTCATAGGCCTCCCCTGCGGCCTCTGCATGTTGCGGTTGCATCGGGGCCCGAAACACCCAATTGCAAACCCGCCTCCTCCTTCTCCTCGTCCGGCACGTGCCATCCTTTCAGGCGCTGGCCGTGCCAATGTGAACCATGCAGCCCCACCAAAAGCTTCTCGCACCTTTGCCCCTGCCTCCCTCTTCAGCTTCCTGGCCTGGCTCCTGTCAATGATGCTCCCGGAATATGGCAGCGTGCGCATTCTCGCTGTAATGATATTTACCGTTTTGCCGAATTCAGCTCTTTCAAGGGCCATTGGCATGACGTGCATTGCTTCAGCTGCCAAATGCTGCCTGCATGTTCCTGGATACTTTAAGGTGACAACTGGGAAGACCTTGACCAACATCATGCTGTCCAGCCTCTACAGGATCCTCCTCCATCTGAGCATCCGTCATAGTGCAGTTTCAAAAGCAGTAAGCAAAGCAGTTGTCAGCTTTCAAGGGCCAAGGTCTGGCAAAGGTGCTGCGCGCTTTTTGCGGGTGTCGTGGGCCGTGGGTGTATGTGTCTGTGTTGTGAGTGTGTGTGTGTGTGTGTCTGTGTGTGCGCTGTCGCCTTGTTAAGATCCAAGCAGCTGCAGGGGGGCAAACACTGCAAACACTATAGCCATCACTCACCCTCGCAAGAGTCTAAAGCCACAACCTGAAGAGCCCATCATAGCCGATGAAATGTGCTTCCCCCCCCCCCCCCGCCCAAGTCGTCCTACAGCGTACCCGTCCAGTCTATTCCAAACTTACCGTCTGGTCTCACATGAAAAAGCGGGATACGCTGTCCATTTGAGTAGCAGCAGCGCCTCTTGTCACTCTGAATGCCGAACCACGCGGATCAAACCACAACCATCTGTGCTGCCGGCAGCTGGCGGCCATACTTTACCCTCACAGACTCAAAGGAGGGCTTCTTGCCTCAGATCGCAGGCGGAAGGAATGGTCTTGAAGCAGTTCCGGCCCTTTCTGCATGCACAACACCCTCCAATAGTGGAGCCATCCCAGGCCCCGGCGTCGCCAGGCGTCCACGACGCCCTTGTGGTTCAGACCGCCCGGGCGCTTCTCACATTCCCCTGCGAGCACCGGACAATCAGCCGACAAAGCCTTGCCAGTGCCGCAATGGAACATCTCTGCAATAAGGACCGCTGCGAAAACCAAACCCGGAAAACTCCAGCGAACAAAAAGCAAACCTACGCGCAATTGGCAATGCACTTCGCTAGGTAAGCTGACCCCTTCCCAAACGCAGGTGACAGCTTCTGTACAGCGCCTGTCATGTTGTACCAACCGCACGTGGGCGGCATCACGTCCGGCAGATACTTGCAAGGGCCTTGTTACAAACGGCTTGCTGCCATCCCTGCTGCATTTTGTAGCAGCCTGTCATGACATCCAAGTATAATGAACACAGCAGGGGCTGGCGGAAGGTTTGTCATGCTGATCGGAGTCCACGGGAAACTGTTCTTGCAACGAGCTGCCAATGATGCTTGAGGGCTGCTGAGCAACTCTAGTATGTGTCCTTTCCACACCTGAGGCCAGAACCACATGCCTGCGCATCATCATTGCCTCACAACAGGCTGCTCCCTCAACAGCCGCTGCCCAGCCGATGCCCCCGCCCCCCCTCCCCCCTAACCCCTGCTGTTCGGCAAAATGAGCCCAGGCACCTTTAAAATCAAAGAAGTGCCACAGGACGATGCCAGAGACATTGTCGTCTGCAAGGGCTGTATCCACGTCAGCATCGATGACCTGCAAATCGCCACAACCCAACAGTTGAAGGCTCAGCCCAAAGGCCACAGTGCCTTCCCCCGCCTCTTGCTGATACTTCAGGCTCCAAAACACGTCAGTCTTATTCTTCCACTCAAAGATGCCACCCGCGCCCGTCTCGCTGACGAAGAAAGGCTTCTGTGGCTGTTGGGCACGCGCCCACGCCGCGCTCTTGTTCCACTCCACGCCGGGCGCATGCAGGTCACCCGGCTTGGAATACCAAGCTGGGTAGCTATTGAAGCTGATGGCCGTGGCGTGATCCAGGCACTTGTCCTCCAAAATTCCAGACCTTTCGGACCTGCCGACCTTCCGACCCGGGCCAAACACGACAGTGTCGGACCCCAGCCCGAGTTTGAACCGGTCCTTGTCTTTCTTGTTCGACGCCCAGGAAAGAAAGCGAGTAGAGTCCCGACTTGCGGCGAGCTGCGCACAAGCCGCATAGGCTGGGCAGGCCGCCTCTTGATCTGAAGGGCCTGAGGCAGCCAAAGCCCAACCCCGACGCAATATGCCATCCGGAAAGTCAAGACAAACTGTCCCCAGCCTTCATTGAACCATGCCCACACCATGATAGATGGATGGTTCATGCTCGCCTCCAGCATTTCCTCAAGCTGTTGCAACCTCGCAGCGCAGCAAACAGATATTTGACGCTGCTATGCCTATCCCAGTGAGGGCGCCTTTACACTCTGGGACCGCTGCTGGTACTTCATGAAGTGCTCTGAGTCCTACAAAGTCTATTGCACTGCCCATGTGGCCCGAATCAAACCTGCGCACACGTTCCAAAGCCGACGCTTTCGAAATAGTGCGAAGCCCTCCCTCCCGCTCCTGCAGGTCTTTCACGGTGACCCCAGGGCCCAGCGTCTCCTCCCACATGGCAAAGCCGGCAGTGTCCAGGCGGTCCAGCCACCGCTGGTCCTGCGGGTAGTGCCTCGGATAGGCCGAGTGGCCTCTGGCTGCCTCAGTCTGCCTCCTGGTATCAAAGGAACGGATTTCAGGCATCGGACATTCCTGGAAACTGACGATATTGGTCACTATGATCACCGACTAGTTTAGCATGACGAGACTTGACGGCTCTTCGCACACTCCCAGCTGCAGGTAAGGAACGCACCACGGACAAAGTTGGCGTTGCCCTCGCGGAGCAACGCCATGTCCACGCTCAGCTGCTCATCCGTGGGCGATGCACCTGGCAAGGCTGAAGTAACATAGTATCAGTCGTCAGGGATGCCGCTCGGGTACTGTATGCATGAACCCTATCATGGTGTGTGTGTGTGTGTATGCCCCCTTATGTTTCCACAAATCCCTCTCTCTGTCATTCTCTCTCTCTCTCTCTATCTCTCTCTGTCATTCTGTCTTTCTGTCTTTCTGCCTCTCTCTCCCCCCCTCTCTGTGTCTCGCGTTGGGCCTGTGTCCACCCACTGTGTGTGGTGGTTCCAGCCATGTAGCTTCACCACCTCGACCGATGGCAGTTATGCGTCTCACAGCGCTTGAATTTCCTGTCCAGCATCAACAAGACTGCTACTGCCGCACTGCCAGCCAAGCACCTCCCCGTTGAGCGTGACACGGCCATCCTTCACGCCCCAGGTGCGAAGGCCAAAGCGTTCCGTGACGGAAGCGCCGAAGGTCCTGGCTAGGACGTCCGCCCCACCACATCCGATGCTGGCAAGGCGTCAAACACCAAACTGCCATAGGTCAACAGCGAAGGGCTCCGCAGCACCCTGCCACCCTGCCCCCAGGTAACTCAGCAAACGGCACCTCACAGTGAGAGTGTGCAGGTGTGGCGTCTGAAGCGACCAAGGACGTGCAAATGGCACCTGGCCAGCGGGAAGGTGCATAAAGCAAGCAAACTTCCCCAAACTCCTTATCCACCCATCCCAGACGGCCCCATTTGCGCTCAAACACCAGATGCTGAAACCAGCATGGGCCAGCTCAAGGTAAAAGGCCACGCGTCAAAAGGCTGGCTGCAGCGGCTTGCTGCCACATCATGCCACCGAAAACTACTGCACACTGCCCGCCTTCAGCGCAGTCAGGCGAAATTTGCCTGCCTTAGCCTCTGCTGCGAAGGTGGTCACTTTGACCTGAGTGAGCCATGGCTTCAACATGCCAGCATGCCCGATGCTCGCCCCGTGGAGGAACAAAAACAATGTCAATGTGGCTGCCTGCAGCAATGAAATTGAGCACCTTACTGTAACCTTCTGACTTATTGTTTTGGTTGCTTGTGTCTCACCAATCCTGGGCTCCAATCACCCTGCCGACATGCAACAGAATAAGTTCGGCCATTCCACACACACGCCCCTTATGATTGACAATGCCAGGAAGCTGACCAGGAGCACAAGCGTTCTTCCAAGGCCCAGCTTGTCACACGTGACTGCCAGGGCACGAACCCATCAAATACAATCGTACCGGTGATGTTACCAGAGAAGGCAGAGGTCAAGATCACGTTGACATCCACAATCCCCATCTCTTCTCTGGGGAGCACATGCGCTCGCCAGACCCACGGTTCCTGTGGGCTGTCGGGCAAGTCCTGAGGATTTGCTCGGCAATCGATGGCAATCGCACAAAACTCTCCTGGTTGCAATCCTTTGGCGTCACCTGCGGCCAAGGAACATGCAGCAGCACACTCCGCACCAAGCCACCATAGTGCCAAAAGTCACCACCAGTGTGAAGGGGTGCCGTGGTCTTGTTGAAGCCTGAGCAGCCACTCGATGCAAATCCCGTCCCCTTCTGGAAATCAAGGACTCACCGCACAAAACCGAATGGAACCAAGCAACGATTGTCAGCAAGAACGAATAACTCTCGTGTCGCAGATGCAGGCTCCAAATCCAACCACCACGGCACATAGCCGCCTGCGAATGCATTGCATGGGCTGCTGGGGCGCACACAAATGCGGAAAACCTGACCAGCACCCTGATAAACTGGCATCTGCTTGCCCGAGGCTGTCAACCTGTCCTGCACGGTGCTCACCCACTTCCTTGCCATCCACAAAAACCCGGCAGTAGAAGGAGCAACCCATGAATTGCAAGCGCGCGTGGCCCTTCTGCTGGAAGTGAGTGCCTTGGGCCGTGACTCGCAGCCGACACACTGTCAACATGAAGCAAGAAACATCCACATCCTGATCCCACCAGTCACACCAAAGTTTAGCACGACTGGTAAAAGAAGCCAGAGAAACCAGCTTGCGTCCCCTTCATGATTTGAGGCACGGTCAAAATTACTTGCTTGTAGCCGTGTCGCTGATCTGTTTTCTGACACTTCTCACTCTACAAGCATTGCGGGAATAGAAGAAGAGGAGCAGAAAGAAAGGCAGGGAGGAAGGAGGAAGGAATAAGGGAAGAAGGGAGGGGGAAGGAGGAAGGGAAGAAGAGAAGAAGGGAAGAAATGGGAGGAAAAGGAAGAGAGAAGCAAGGAAGGCAAGAAGGCAAAGAAAGGACGCAATGAGGAGGAAGGGAGGAAGGGAGGAAGGGAGGAAGGGAGGAAGGGAGGAAGGGAGGAAGGGAGGAAGGGAGGAAGGGAGGAAGGGAGGAAGGGAGAAAGGGAGGAAGGGAGGAACAGATGAAGGGAGGAAGGGAGGAAGGGAGGAAGGGAGGAAGGGAGGAAGGGAGGAAGGGAGGAAGGGAGGAAGGGAGGAAGGGAAAAAGGGAGGAAGGGAGGAAGGAAGGAAGGAAGGAAGGAAGGGAGGAAGGAAGGAAGGGAGGGAGGGAAGGGAGGAAGGGAGAAAGGGAGGACGGGATGACGGTAGGACGGGATGAAGAAAGGGAGGGAGCAAGGGAGGGAGGGAGGGAGGAAGGGACGCAGGGACAGAGGGATGGAGGGAGGGAAGGAAGAGAGGGAAGGAGGGGTTGAGGGGCCCTTCATTCTTCAGGCAGGTCTCGGTACATGGCCACTCCGCGTCTGCCCAGAATACCCGGGCCAGCAGCGTCCACGCTGGAAGGCACTTGCACACCCTGGGGCGTCAAGCCAGGCGCCTGCCCCAAACTCGCGCAACACCCCAGCCCCATGTCCAAGGGACTTGACATGGATGCGGCTCAGGATAAGGAAGAAACCAGGGCTTTCAAACAAATGTTCATTAGGAAGTCGTGCTGGTACTACTTGCTTGCAGTTCAGGCACCAATTTGGAAGGAAAGGTCTGACTCGTACGCGAACACGCACCTGCGTGTTGAATGGCGCCAGCACGTCGAACCCTTTGGAGTCATTGAAACCTCGGGGCCCCACCTCCCGTCGCATCCCATTTCCTCATCACATTGTATTCCGGCCATGCGAACAAATACCTCGCCTGTTATCCTTGTGCCCTACTACAGTCCCTTACTCTCTCACGTCAGCTGCTTAAAACAGGCAGCAGGCCACCAAGCAAATGAGTTTTGTCTGAGCCAAGTTGCGCCAAACAAAACGATGTGCAAGTTGCAACATTACTTTTTGTGGTGCGAGCGATGGCCAATAACAGCCGCGCCAAGCCAAGTACCCCTATTGCTCCTCCAAGGCCTGTGCGGCCTGGCTGCCGAAAAGCCACTCACCATCCAGCACCGCCACCTGGCTGGCAATCGCTCTGCTGAAACCTCCTCCCCAAAGCACTTGAAAGGAAACTGCCTTAGATTCTTTTTGGGCGCATCCCATACGCTGCCTTGCCGTTCAAGTGAGAGATGCCCCCACCCACCCTCCCCTCCCCACCCCACACCTCCCGGCGGCCACCGTAGCGGGGCCAGAAGTGTGGCGACGCCAGCGCGAAGGTGAAGCAAAGGCACTGCAACACCCACGAGGCTCGCATGGCTGCACTTCCTACATCCGCACCTTGCAGAATCAGCCAACCCGAAATGTCAAAGAAGAACGTACAGTTGAGCATTGCCGCGATCCAGCAGGCTATTTTGGTTGGCTTGGACAAGTGAACCTACCAGTTGATACGTTGTTTGGTACCAGCAGGTGCCGCGGCTGCCCAGAAATCCTGCATGCGTGCGTGTCAAAGTTTTTCCCTTGTGGTTTGTGCACTCTAGCCTGCTGCTACGTGCAATGCTGATGCGCTGATTGTCAGCTGATTTGACGCTACCGCTCTAGTCGTATTTGTGTAGCTCCCGTAAAAATCCCCATAGATCAATCATGTATAAACCCTTGGTCGCTTCACGCAACAGCTGGCGGCAGCGAGGTATGTCCAACTTTGCCATTGACTGTATGACCTTGCAGTTGCCGACATCACGCACTGTAGGCATCCAAGCAAGGAAAGCAATGAGTTCTTCCCACCCCTTACCTACCCCCATTGCTTTGCCCTCTAACACAAGAGCCTGGAAGTTTTTTGCGACCACTGTTCTCACGCACGTCCTCAGCCCAGGCTGGGACCGGAACAAACCTGTACAGGTGCCACACCCTCCGGCGCCTTCCGCACACACGGGAGGTTGGGAAAAGCCCAAGGAGGTGCCAGCACGGAACCGGAACAAACAATTGACAACTGGTCAGAGCCTGTCATTCAAAAATACCATTACAGTAATCCGTCCTTGTCCCTCTTGCTTTCGGGGTTTCCGCGTCTCGTTCTGAATGGCAGCGGAACTCGACCACATTTCATTTCAAAAGTCAATACCCTAAGAAATCAGGTCCGTTGTTGAAATAGCGGACGGAGCATTGGTGGTGAAGCCCTGAACCTTGCAACATCTTGCAACGCCTCAGTGCCATCGTCCACCTTGCGACCAAACGAATCGACTGTTTCGTGTGCCTCAACTGTAACACCCGGCTTCAGCCCACGCCCTCCCCATGAACAGCGCACAATCTGTGTGTGTGTGTGTGCAACTTCGAGGGCCACTCGCATGAGTACAATGAAGGGAAGCATATGCCTCAGTCGCTTTCTCGCTGCATCCGGCTAACGTATTTCAGCACTTCATCCAGGACCAGCACGGGCAGGGAGAAAGCTGCCACAAGCATCCAATCATGAGCGTCCAACGGGCAAACGCCAAAGAAACTTGCCAGCGGGGTGTACAGAATGGCGCAGTGAAGGAATGCCGACACCGCACATCCTGCGACCAGCCATGGATTTAGCCAAGGAGGTCTTGACAGCAGGGACCCATCCTCAGACACAGCGTTGAAGGCGTTGAGCAGCTGGATCATCACCAGGACTGTGATGGAGAGGGTTGCTGCTTTGATTTTGCCCACGGTGAAATAGCTGCACGGATCCGCGGAGAAGTCCATTCCCATCATAGGCTCTGGAGACAGGTCCTCAATTTGACCATCTGGATGGTCAAACACAAACTTTTGCGGCTGGGCAAACCCCATGAGTTGGAGGCGCCATGAGCCGCCCGCTGACCAAAGCCGAAAATGCACACCCACGAACCGGAAGCTTGCCCTACTCCGCAAACGTCTTGAACCTACCCTGGCCCCTCGACCTTAGCCCTGCATATTTGACGGCACAAGAGCCAAGCCACCAGACTGAGAGGACTTGCAACAAGCAACTTGTTCCGCCCAAACCCGTCCCCATTCGAAACAGAACACGCGCACAAAAGGGCTCAATTGGCATCTCGCCGTCTGACCAAAGCGCGGCTGCCGAGCAGTGGCCCCAATCCATGAGCTGCGCTAGCGACACCAGCGTGTGGCCCTCGTCGGCGGTGAACCTCAGCAAGATCGCCCCGTTGATGAGGTTCTTGCGCTGGATTGCATGAACAGTGATGTCAACCTACCGGAAAATCTAGACAAACAGCCTAGCATCCAGACGTTTGTCATCTCTCCCTTTCTGGTTTAACAATATGTGAAGAATCAAATGTGACACAGTGAATCCTTCTGCCCTGCGTGAAACATTGAAAACTACATTAAGGGTTCAAATTGTAGGGAAGGGGGGGAGGGTCATACAAGTCATGCCCTCAGGGCCCACTCCGCCCTGCATGACAAGGAACCAGTAGATGAAGACTCCCACAGTGGCAATGCCAACATAGAGGCCAATCCTGAGTCAACATGACAGCGCCTCATGGGGGAAGCTTCATCGAAACAAAAAAAGCTGGCTTCAATGCCATCACCTCACTGCCTCACCAAGCAGAATGCCGACTGCTCAATGGCTCCAAGCTGCATAAGGTATCGAAAAAGTGCCCATCCTGAGATCAGGCCGTCGTCCTTCCTGCGGGGCGGTTCGGACATGACCTCAGCGCGACCGCAGCAGCCCCAGCCCGGTGAACATGCTTTTGTCCTGTCGAGGTGCCACCTTGTACCAAAGTCAAGCCCTCGTAGTACTTGTTTATTCACTCCGGCCTCCCTCAACTAGTTGACAAAAGACTAAGCTCAGCGACGCCCTCATCGGGTGGGTTGAAGCCCAGGGCAGTTGCAGGTAGTCCATCCTCGGCAAGCACTCTGCATTCAAAGTTCAGTCTTTATCTCGTCCTGTGGCAGGTTGAGCTCACTTTTTTGATTGGCAATGAGGGGATGTGAAGAAAGGAAAGAGCCAGGCTTGAAGTTTATCTTCTTGGGGCAGCTTGTCTGTCGTTCTGAAAACAGAAAGAACTGAGTAAAAACTGCCAGACGTGGGGTGTTGGCCACTGCACTTGAGCACCCGAGCTATCAGGAACACTGCGGATGCAACTCAACATGGTGCTACATGGTCCTATTTTTCTACGGTGGATGTGATCAAAAACTGTCGCAACGAGACCCCTGGAACGCCGTTGCAAAGTGTCCAAAGCTATCACACGAATGCTGGCATTTTGCCCATGGCCGATGCTGCTCAAAGCATGCTCCGTCTGAGCACGCCGGAAAGTCCAGCAATTTACTTGACCATGGTGGATGCAGGTCAGAAAGATGCTGGATACAAATTCGGAATGTGACAAGAACGATTGGCAAAGACATGTCGATTGCAGCTCCTTGGGGCGTAGCCAACTCCCTCTCCCTCCGTAGTGCCTGCTGCCACTCTGCCCTCCCACTCCCCGAACCAATCACCCCTGCACGCAAGTGCCAATGGGTCAAAGGGCATACTGGGCCTTCCACACGTGATGCCTTTAGCATTTGACTGCTAAACAAGTGCTTGGCCACAGACGAGTCACCAGTCAGAATCAAACACCTGTTTCAGTTTGGGCGCCTCTCGGCCACGCCCTGTCTCGCATCGTTTGCAGCCCGAGTGGCCGTCACTAAGTTCACCCAAAGGAGCTGCACGGGAGCAAGGCTCTCTGGAATCCCCAGGGCAGCAGTCAGGAAAATGGACGCCACCTGCACCGCACGCGCAGCATGCGTCCCGACAGCCCCTCGTGGTGCTTGGCTTTTGGTGCATAAATCCGACGGCCAATGGGGCCAATGGATGTGCTTCAAAACGACACCCAGCATGATTTCCCAAGCCAGTTTCCGCACAGACCATGCCTCGCCAATGTTAGAGGATATCAAGTAGCGGATTACCTCGTAAGGCCGGCGAGCGCGCACGCCAATTGACACCAGCATGGAGAAGCTGAGGGGTGCACAGCCTTCATGTTCTTGAAGATTGACCGGCCCTGCTCAACAGCAGCCACAATAGTGGAGAAGTTGTCGTTGGCCAACACCATATCCTCATCCGCACAGCTGCGCTGCGACTGCGACAAGCGCATCTTTCCCAATATTCGGCAAACCCAAACCATGGATCATCGCACTTCCCTGACTCCCCGAGCGGCGGAGGCTTCTTTGGCCACTTCGGTGCCGCCCATGCCCATGGCCACGCCGATGTCTGCCTGCTTCAGGGCCGGCGCATCGTTCACGCCGTCGCCGGTCCTGAGCTGGCAGCTGGCGAGCGAGCACGCGTCACACGCGCCAACCTATTGGGGTTCCAGGGCAAACAAACCGAAAAACAAGCTTTGAATCAGAGGCAAATCGTGCTACAACATGCCCAGGTACATAGCGACAATTTCATCCTGCTCCTTCAACATCTTCACCACGATCTGCTTGTGCTTGGGCTCCATGCGGGAAAAGACCGCACCCTCCTTGCCACGATCCGCCATCCTGGCGGCCCCAGGGAAAAGGGGCGGCTAGGAATCAACGAAAAGTTGTGCCTTCCCTTCGTCATGATGTTCCCCCACCCCGTTGTTTTGTTGTCCTTTTCCCTGCGTGGCTCCCTGCATCCTCTTGACAGGCTTGCGGTAGCCTGCTTTATTGACAGAGTTGGAAGGGTGACCCTCCGTCGAAAGAAACGCCGGGGCGCATGCTCTTCAGCACATCTGCACGGTCAGCATGGGACATGTCAGCAAACTCCTTGCCCGTGAGGGACTTGGCAGAGACGTCCTTGGCGCTGAGGCTGGGCAGCGTGAAGCCTCATGCCTACCTTTGCAACACCACGCCCCCTGACAATCCTTCACTGCTACCCCGAAGCACACGCCTCAAACACGGTCCTTGCCCAAGGCACCGAGTCGGGAGCAAGGATACCCAGCTGCCGGGAGATGGCCTCAGCCGTCACCTGCCATCTTATCTTGAGAAAGGCGGGACAGAAAGCTGGCACCGCTCGCCAAGAGCCAATGCTACTAGACAATTCGTCAAGTCCTTCTTTTATCGTCCGCAGCCCCCCCCCCCCCGAAAGCTTGCGAACGGGACATGTCAAATGGCAAGTCTGAACAGAGTGGCAACGCATCCGGGCAACGCACATGGGGACGTTTACATGAGGATGTCCTCCGCAAATGCTGCAAGCAGTGCGCTGTGGCCTTGTTGTCTCCGGTTGTCATGAAGACACCTCAAAAAGACAGACTAAGCTGGCACCCGAAGCAAGTCCTGTGTAACATAACCGACACTGGCTTCTGAAAAGAAAGATCTCAAAATGACCCTAAAAGTGTTGCGGAAGCCAAGGCTCTGATGCCCGCCTTGTTACATGCTGCAATTGCATCCATACATTCCGGCCGCGGTGGATCAATGATCCCTGCGGACAGACACGATGACCACAGGGAAAACAATGCAAAAGTACAACATGGCCTCGCAAAAAATACTATGAGCCCCATTGCAGCTACTTGGCTGACAGCCTTGGCTTGTCTTCCCGGCCTGTTTCGGGGCTGCCCGCACGCCGCGTGCTTTCCCGAACGTGACATGGGCAACATCCCTGCCTACAAGGCCCACGAACACCATGCCCTGCTCCACCGCGGCGAAGCCGCTAGGATCGCAAAGCACAGCATGGCCGGGGTGGGACGGTCCATCGTAATCCTGCAGCCCACAGTCCTGCTCGGCTGCAAGGTGGCCGGTTGCACTTCGATATCAAAGAAGTAAGTCTGGAGATGAGCATCAGCCAACGTTGTCAGCAGAATGACGTGCAAAATCTGAGTTGCTGGTCCTCCAGGTCCAGCTTGACGGCGAGCGCAAGAGTTCCTTGGCAATTGAAGCACACGCCGTCCGAACTGCTGAGACACAAGCATTTGAAAAGGGGCTGGCTGACCTGGACCTGGACATGGGATTCGGCAAATCGCTCACCCGGCAAGGCCCCGCTAGCCCCAATGCCAAGGGTCGAAGCGCCTCGCCGGCCATTCCAAGAGTTGTCTCCATGATGGCAGCTTTTGAAGTGTCAGAAAGGGGGGTCTGCGTGCCATCCGGCAGCAACACGGCAGAGCACCTGTCCAAAATGCTCTCTGGAGCACCTGAGGCGTTCGAGCCAACCGTGTGGAAGCTGCACGGCAAGTCTTGGTTTCTGCCATGCTGCAAGGGCACCTTTGACATACAGAACGTTCTCTGGCTGAACCTCTGGATCGCTGCATAGGACACTCATGGACTTGCGGTCCCGCGCAAATTCCAGGGTCGCCCGCTTTGTCACGCCCTCGCTCCAGAAGTCATTGAACACCATGACAGTCTGACTGCCTGAGATTGGAGCTGAGCTTAAAGGTCGATCTTGCTGCCACATTCCAGGCCAAGATGCTCCTCTCTTGCTGGAAGTGCGCTCTTTGCAAGGCCTTGTACGATGGCCAGAGTTCGAAGTGCAAGTCCCGCCCGATCTCTCCGTTTGAAAGCTGCCAACGACAAAACAGACTGCTATTTGGATTGATTCAGCAGGGGCTCCAGCTGCCGCCTTGGCCTTCGAGAACCGGCCACCCACCGGTCACCACACCTGACCTTCTCTGCTTCCCCGTCATTGTGAAACGACCCCTCTCCAACGACAACAACTGCCCACAACATCAAACATCAGCAGCGGCCTTCCCCAATCTCCGGACCTCCGGATCTGCACCTCTGCACCTCTGCACCTCTGCACCTCTGCACCTCTGCACCTCTGCACCTCTGCACCTCTGCACCTCTGCACCTCCCAGATGTCTTGACCTCCGGCCTCTTCGGGGCAGCCCAACTTCTCCACCAGCACCCGCAGCGCCGCCTCCGTGGGCTCCCCCACGCGGCAAATGCTCGAGCCCTCCTGGCTCAGCCGCGAGTCCTTGAAGCTGGCACAACCACTGGATGGGAAGGGGGGGGGTTGAGCTGGGGGGAGAGGAGGATGAAGCAAACGAACCCCCCCTGAAGCCACAGACTTAGAATTTTGCCAATCCCTCGATGGCATATATATATATATTATATCTATGTATAATATATATACAAAATATATATGTGTGTGTGTATATATATATACAGAAAGCATCCTTATCATTGGCCCTGCTGATGTCAGGACAGCAGTGGTTAAAAAAACAATGGCAAATGCGAATGCAGGTCCCATTTTTTGATCCGCAGGCTGTCGGTCCCTCAGAATGTCCGCCGGTGCCTGGAAGATTTTCTCAGGACCTGCATTTTAATGTGGAACAAGCTCCTCTAAAAGCACTCAACCCCAATACAAACCGATCCTCTGAGCCGGCTGGCTCAGAATCTGAGAAGGTGAGCCTTGGACTTCCTTCTGGCCACAAGATGCTAGAGCTGCCAAGGGCCTATGCCCTTGCAGGCAGTGGATGCAGTGGGCCGTCTGGGTGGAGTATGGCGGAGTTTGTGCGACCAACTCCTCGTGGATGTGGTCACCGAGGAAAACTGTACCAAGGGTCACGCAGCCTGGAGACTTTGCAGCCAGGATACCTAGCCTTCAAGCATCTGAGGATCAACAAGTTCAACAAATAATGCACGGATCCATGTCATTTGAACGCACGGCAACTCACAAAGATCCTCACCTATTAAAAAGGCCTTTGCCAAAAAAGGGATGGCGGGCGCTCTGTCCGTGCATCCCCGCTGAGGTGAATCTATTTGGCTCGCCCTGCCTGCGGGCCACGTGCGTCACATTGCCACGTTGCTTCCTCTACCATCGTCGCACCACAGCTTTTGGAAACCTCGGAGTCCTCCAACGCCGGCCTTGCCTGCATGGCTCCAAGCACCCGGAAAGAGATGAGAAAGCGGCATGACTTGGCACATATAAGGGCAACACCAACCACAAACTGAACAGACAATTCAACACAGGACCATATGAGGTATTGCAATGTACTGAAGTGTAAGGCAATGCAAAACACCTTGCTGACATGCACGTGAGTCAGTAAGCATGCATGTACGCTTCTGTGCATGTACGCGTGTTTGCGTGTTTGCGTGCTTGCGTGCTTGCGTGTTTGCGTGTTTGGGTGTGCGCGTGCGTGCGTGCGTGGGTGGGTGTGGGCGGGCGGGCGGGCGGGCGGGCGGGCGTGCCTGCGTGCCTGCGTGCATGTGTGCGTGGGTGGGTGGGTGGGTGTGGGTGTGTGTGTGTGTGTGCGTGCATGCGTGTGTGCGTGCACGCGAGTGTGCATGGTGCACGCGAGTGTGCATGGTGCACGCGTGCGCGCTGTGTGCGTGTGTGCGCTGCGCGCGCTGTGCCCGCACGTGCGTGTGCGCGTGCGTTGTGTGAGCGGGCCCACGTGAATGCGAGCACGTTCACCAGCGCTCGTGCGCGTGCGTGCGCGGGTGCGAGCGCGTGTGCGTGCAGAACCAAGTGCGTCTCTGCGCTCATGCTTACGCTTCTTGCTCACACACAAGTTGGAGCACAAAGCTCCGCAAAGTTTGTGGAAGTCACATTGATGCCTCCCATTCATTCACGGCAGTCTTTGGCAAAAGGCCGCTATGAAGTGAACGCTATGATGGTTGGGATGGCGTGGTTCTGCCTGTGCGCGTGAGTGCTGCGTGCCACGAGCCGAACCGCGTGCCGCGTTTGTGCGAGTGCGCGTAAGCATGTGCGTGCGCGGGCATATGCGCATGCGCGTGGGATTGGGCGTGGGCGCAAGCATGGGCCTGGGCGTGGCATGGGCATGGGTGTGGGCGCAGGCATCTGCGTGTGCGTGTGTGTGTGTGAGGCATGTGGGGGGGAAAATGTGTGTGCGCGCGTGTGGGCGTGCGTGTGTGTGTGTGTGGTGGGTGTGTGTCTGTCTGTGTCCCTCTCTGTGTGTGTGTGCCCTGTCTGTCTGTTTGTCTCTCTCTCTCTCTCTCTCTCTCTCCCTGTGGGCCGTGTGTGTGTGTGTGCGTGTGCGCGCTTGCATGTGTGCGCGTGCGTCACGCGCGCGCGTGCGTATGCCTGGCCGTGCACGTGTGCGTGCGCGTTTGCGCGTACGCGTGCGTGCGCGCGGAAGCGCAGGCGCGCGCGCTCGTGCGAGCGTGCGCGTGGCTCGTCAATGGCAATTGGGGTCCAGCCTTTGAAGCTCAAGCATGATCGCGCCAAACGCATACATGTTCACCCCACCTTTACATCGTTGCACCAGGCGTTTATGTGCTCGCCACAGGGACACTGTTTTGTCGTTGCTTGCACAGGAATCCTGTCTTGAAACTTCGAATGCTTTCCAGCTGGGAGCAGAAACCTGGCTGCCGGATTGCAAGCTACAAATATCGTCGATCTAAATGTTTCTGTGTTCGCCACAGGGACCCAGCCGCTGAAAGCACAAACATTATGCCGTTGAATGTGCCCGGCTGCGCCGTTTTGAAGCTCAAACATTGACGGGCCACGCTTTGGAAGGCCGGCCGTCCATCACAAAAAGCGCTTCCGGTTTCGGATTCTGCACAGCGACGTTTAATGTGTGAGGGGCATGCGTTTTGGGCTACCCACGCTGGCAAACTTACTGTTGATCACTCAAACTCCATGGAAACCTCTTATGTATTTCTGTGGTTTGAAAGCTTGCAAGCGATCGTAATTAGTACTTTCCTTCCGCCCTCCTCACGCCTACCGCATAGTGTCGGCTTCCTGCGTTCACATTTCCTATCTTTGCAACGGCTATCTATGTCCCTTTCAGTTGCTTGTGTCGCTAAACTGCTGCAAGCTTGGTGCTCCTGTTGCCCTGAGGGCGCCCACGTCATACCCGTCTGGTGGGATGCAAGCAAGGTCGGACGCCAAGCTCCAAATTGTGGATATGCGGCTGCCTGGGCATGTGTCCATTTGTTTGTTGCATGTTGATGTTGCATAATGATGTGCGCTGTGGTACTGTGGTTGCCTGGGCCTGCGCACGCCTGGGCATGCGCATGTTGCATGAGTGTGTATACTATGTCTCTCTGTCTCTCTCGCTGTCGCCCTCTCTCTCTCTCTCTCTCTGGCAATGGCAGTCCATCCCACCCGCCCTCTGGCGCGCAAAAGTTGCACGGCAAAACTGGAGTCAGCTTTGGGGAACCCAGTCCGTGGTTATGTGTTTATTATGCCTGCACTACAGTAACATGCGGAAGCACAACCCACAGGCTGCGTGCATGCAGGCGTAGGTGTGCGTGCAAGAAGCCTGTGCCCCAATGCTGGCTCACTCATTTGAACGATGGCCGCTGGTTGTCTTCATTTTCATGAGCCTGACTCTGATAAGAGTCTTTTCGGCACTTTTTGCTGGCACTGAACTCCCCTATGACATCTGGGTCCAGGTGACTTGCACGGTACACGCAGTACCAAACACTAGCCTGATTGCTCCTTTGAACGCTTTTATCCATCATGTTTGCGCAGTTTGCCATGACTGCATGCTGAAAGCAGGTCCGATCCACGCAGGTTCATTTGTATTAACACTGGTAGCCTGATGGCTCCTTTGAATGACTTTTCTCGATGGTTGCACAGTTTGCTTCTTAAAGCCCATGGCTGTCCGCATGTTGAAAGATCCGATCAGGCCACCACTCGCGAAGAAGATTCTGCGCTGGCACCATGGAATTGGAACTCTCCGAGCATCAACCCGTCTCTGGCTTGAATAGTTCTTGGTTTGGCACGAAGCTGGTTGCTTGGCCATGCTTCTGGGTCCTTTGGGCAGCTTTGGCCGGATTTCCACTGCACTTTATTGCAAGAACTGCCCGTAGATGGGCAAGGACATGGACACCCAAATGCAGCGATTGGTGGGTTGGGGTTGCGCTTGATGAGATTAACAGGGTGCTCGGAGTCTAAAACCGTGCGTTCCCGTTGCTGCTTTGTGCTGAAGTAAGGTGAGCACGGGTTGCTGGCTCACTCGTTTGAACGATGGCCGCTGGTTGTCTTCATTTTCATGAGCCTGACTCTGATAAGAGTCTTTTTGCGGCACTTTTTGCTGGCACTGAACTCCCCTATGACACCTGGGTGCAGGTTGACTTGCACGGTGCAGATCGAGGGGGCCGTGCGTGCAGTACCAACACTGGAAGCCTGATGGCTCCTTTGAACGCTTTTCCCCATGCAAATTAATTTGCATTAACACTGGTAGCCTGACGGCTCCTTTGAATGACTTTTCTCCACGGTTGCGCAGTTTGCTTCCTAAAGCCCATGAGTCTCTGCATGTTGTCTGCACATTCATTCAAATATCATTCGGGTTTCGGTGCGTGCACAAAGTTTCCGTGTGCCTGTTTGTACCACCTGTGCACCCGCTGCGCGCGTGCGGCTGAATGTCCACACATCTGAGCGCGCGAGAACTGATGCAACTGATGAACGTGGCCTCTCTATGCGCTCGGCTGGCTGATGCGACAAGCATACAAGTGAAATCACACACAAGTATCCAAACCCGCCTTGGGCCGATTTTGGGCCTCGAGCTTGGCGATGATGCGGGCTTTCTCCTGCTCATCCCGGACCTGCTGGAAGATGCTGGGGTCAATGACCCCCTCCCAGGCCTCGTCTTCAGAGTCGATCTCCCGCGCCATGGCTGACTGGCAGACTTGAGCCAAGAAGTCCTGCAATGGGGTCAAGAAGTGTAAGCAATCTTTGTCCAAGACGTTTTTTGGCTCAGGTTCCACCTGCCTTCCCAAGGAGATTTGATTCGAAAAAGTAAGAATGACCGTGTCCCGCTCCCTGCGCCCCATTTTGAGCCCCTCAAACCTTTCTTCTCAAAATCCAGGATTGGGCGACAGAACGGTCGAACACAGCTGACCTCATACAAAGCTAAAGAATAAAATAGGATGCCATCGTTCATCTGACACATAGTCACCCCTGTCTAGCAAAAGCCTTTGTGAGCCCGCTAGAGGGTGCAGCGCTCCTCAAGGAACCCTTCTCCAACCTGCAGACCTCATCCTCGACACCTGCGCATTAGCTGAGCCCCGGTCGTTGCAAAGCGTGGCCACCTTGCAGAAGAAGCGCAGCGCCTTGTTGCCCTGCCAATCCGCTGACCAATCCATTACCTTCCCCAAGGGCGAATAGCCATTGCCCTCGACTGAGAAGGACTGCATCTCCGTGGGGCTTCTCGGGAGAACCATGCGTGTGCAACACATCTCGTTGAGCGTCAGGGTGCCGGTCTTGTCGGAACAAATCACCGTCGTGCACCCCAGAGTCTCCACCGATGGCAACTTCCTCACAATGGCGTTCCTCTCCTAAGCAGCGACTCGCACTGCAGGCCAATTTCAAAGTGACAATGTGCCAGACTCTCTGTCACCCACTCCTTGGCCGAGCAGCTGCCATCTGCTGGGTTCCCAACGCCAAGCAGGTTGTGACTACCGCAGGGAGTCCCTCTGGAATCGCTGCCACCGCCAGCGCAACCGCAATCTTGAAGTAGTAGATGCAGCCCTCCAGAGGCAGATTACGGGATGCCCTGGATGCCCCACCCACAAATTTAAGGTTGGCGGCACCCTTGCCTGAAGAAACGATCCATGCACAGGATCAGTGAAGTGCTTGTAATTAATGGCCCAGACGATCGCACCTGAACGTTGCATCCATTGCTGGATCGACAACTTGAAACATCCTGCTCTTGCCAAGAGGCAAATGGCAAAGATGATTCTGGCCAGCGTCGTCCCAAACCTTGTGCTCTCAAACGGTGCAGTCGCGAGGCTGAGGGGGCCCAGGTGGCTCAGGCCTGAAATTTCAGCCCCCGGCTCGTCCAGCTTCTTCTGCAGCGGCGTGGGGTCGTCCTGTCCGGCTTCGGTCACTGCCCCCTGAATGGCGCCGATCTCTGTGGACATGCCCGTGGCCACCACACACCTGAGCTCAGGGCATGGCAGCCACGGGAATCAATTTCTGGGCCCCACCCCACACAGGCACCGTTGGAGATGGTCGTCGAGGCGAAAAGCATGTTGCTCTTGCCTGGACAGAAATCAAACAGGAACTGGCTGCACCGCAACCGGGCCTTGAAGCACAGCATCTGGATCCTGCACCGGGTCCGGATCCTTGAGGACGCTTTGGGACTCCCCAGTGAGCTGCGATTGCTCCGCACGGATTGTGGTTGTCTTCCTTTGACATCAGGCCAACTCACTGAGTGTTGCGCCAAAAGAACTTGGATGGAAAGAGCCCCAGCATTTTGCACTGGAGTAATCTGAGCAATGCAGTTGCCACTGATTGTCACTTTGCTGTGCAAACCCCCCAGCTTAGCATTCCCCCCACTCTGCTCAGCGTCAACTGCACCAAGCGGATATCCGCTGGTACCTTATCACCGGCCTTCACCTCGCACACGTCTCCAGGCACCACATCTGACGCCTTTCGTTCAACGCGATGGTCGAACATGTCTCGAAGTGTCAAAATGCCAGTCGACTTGTCGATTCCGATTGCGTCCAACCGAGCCCCGGGAAACCGAGCGGGCGCTGGCGCCTCAACTTGGCCCCAGCGGCCCTCGCGCAAGACGGTGGCGGTGTCGGACTGCAGCTTCTTCAAGGAGTCCAGCGCCTCCATCACAGCAGCAGCTCAGCAGCAACTCATGTCACAGGGCCCGAGAACACGCGGACGATTTGCATTGCCAGGCTCGCCTGCTCTGCGTTGGATTCCTGCCAGACCCCCACACAGGCCTCACCGCAAGCCAACTGGGCCAGAGCTTGCAACGCAGGGTCGATGGCAAAAGCCAGCAGCATGGTGCCTATTTGTAGCCGGGCCACGTTCAGAACCAAGATCATAAGAATGACCAAGGGCTCAATGTAGGCAGATACACCCTCTTTCTGATCATCTGTGTTGAAGTACGCCAGAAGAAAAGACACAAAGGCTGACCTCAGCTTGACACGTGCGAATCGTGCGATTCCAGTTCCCGCAAAATCAAGTGCCAGGCCGTGCAATCTCCATGCTTTTAAGCCAGGGGGCAGGAGCAGTATCCGAACAAGCAAGTCATCGAACTGCTCCAAGACCAACTCCCAGAGGGATTTCTTGGCCTGCAGGTGCCGCAAGCTCTGCGAGGAGCCGCCCTGACACTGCCCCCTACCCTGCGGCTTGGCGCCCGCCTGCTCCGCGAGCTGGTTCAAGCCGAACCTGGCGCGCTGCTCCTCGACTTGGCCATGGGACAGGCCCCGGTCCAGGGTCACGTTGTAGAAATCCAGCAGCGCCTGAAAACCAACGGGCAATGGGCTACCATCCATCAAAGTGCCTCTCTCAAACCCTGCCTGCTCTGAAACTCGGTGGGCTTCTGCTGGCAGACTAAGCTGTTCTGTCCCCTTGGCAACCAAAGCATGCATCAAAATTATACCAACAAATGCATGCCCATGCCCTCACAAAAGGAGGCAACGTGGGAGCTCATTCAGTCAGGTGCCAACAGCTAAGGCACTGTGCCCAGCACCGCCGAGCCCGCGCGCAGCGGGGAGGCCACAAAGGCACGCCTTTGCAAGCCGGAACATCTTGGGATGGAGGTTTCACCCAGTTCAGACTAAATACGACATGCTTGCAAGACCATGTCGTCATTAACTTGCCCGCCATCGCAGGTTTCAGACCGACATGTAGGGGTGATGCTGAGGCAGCCTGTAGGAAAAGCTATTGGAAGCTGGGCTTTCGAGGATGCCAGTATGACCCCCAAATCAAGCCCCAACTTTCCGTCCCAGGCACGAGCTTGGCCTCCAGAAAAGCCACAGGCCAGAAAAGGACAGCAGGCTCAAGGACACAGCTGGGCGTGTCCG